CGTTGCTAAACAAGTAGAGCATCTACACAGAATCTTTGCTCGAGATGATGAACTCTCACCCTCTTTTGCTTTAGCTTGTCGCAGCAGCCGACTAACCCATCTGCCTGCTTGTATCTCGGACTGAACACGCAAAAAGCCTAAACTTCCTATCATATTCAGGCATTAAAGTGAAATTAATTACAAAGCCCTAGAGCGGCATGGCGATGGCTGGAGGAGCGGAATTCGCGAGGGTACGTCTCTGATACGATATCAGTCTCGAATCCTTCTCACCGCAGGTGAGCGCATTCACGGATGATCCATTTGGTGGAAATCCGGCTGCTGTGTGCATTCTCTCGAGCGAGAGAGAGGACTCATGGCTGCAACGCGTTGCCAAGGAATTCAATCTCTCGGAAACCGCATTCTTAGTAGATCAATCTCGCGACGAACTCGCGGAAGAGGCAGAGTACAATTTGCGATGGTTCACGCCCAAAGTTGAGGTAACTATTCTTTAGATGGTTTCTTTTGCCTTGTTTCTACTAAGTCTGCGATTTCTTCTCTATTTGTAGGTTGATCTGTGTGGACATGCAACACTAGCTGCTGCTCACACTCTCTTCATGAATCACGTCCAGAAGACCTCGATCGTTTTCCATACCAGGTCTGGCGCATTAAAAGCTCGCAAAGTCACAGGCTATGGAGATGCCGAACAAAATCCTCCTTCATCGCTCAAAGCACAAGGCCTTCTGGAGCTTGACTTCCCTCTAGCTTTGGCAACACCGTGTTCTTCTCCGGAAACCACCCGTGTCTCAAACAGCCTTGGAATATCAAGCGTTGTTTGGTGTGGCAAGACAGACTTGGGAGATTATCTGGTGAGACAATATTCTCTATCTCAGCTTCTTCACAAGTTTTGTGTGACTAGGTGGAGCTTGAGAGCAGCGAGCAAGTGATGGAGATTGTCCCCAACTTTGACGCCATGCTCGATTTTCCAGGCCGAGGTGGAGTGATTGTCACTTCTCAAGCTCCATCCGAGAGTGCGGACGATTTCGTGTCGAGGTTTTTCTGTCCAAAGTCGGGTGTGCTGGAGGTGAGCTACAATGAAAATAGTTCCTTGTTGAAAAGCTATGGTATTTCTGTAGGATCCAGTGACCGGAAGCGCGCACTGTACACTGGGTCCTTACTGGGCCGAGAAACTCGAAAAGAACAGCGTGCAAGGATATCAGGCAAGACGAAGTATTTAGTTTCTCTCAAATGAAGCCATGGTTTTCTAGGGCTCGGAGCGAGGAGGACGCGTGTTAGTAACAGTGGACAAAGCCAATGGTAGAGCACACTTGCAGGGCAGTGCGGTCATTACAATGGCCGGAGTTTTGCTTGTCGATGCATGACATGGCTTCGCGACCTTCAATAATTCGTTATTGGTTTTCTGTAATAATACCGTTAAATTAAAACAAATAAATCCAAACCATAACCTTACCAAAGTATTAACTCGCCGCATGTCATCAATGTTTTCGTGCGAGGACTTGACTTGCCGTTGAAATGTCAATAATGTTCTACGTAGGCAGCAATCTACAGCAACTCGCATTGCATTTTTACAACTCCCCGACTGATTCGTTCATGCGCGTGTCCTCAGCGGTAGAATGCCGCTTGCTTGACCGCCGAGGCTCGAGGCCCCGACGTGTTCCCGATGGTCAGCTCTCGAGTCATGAAGTTCTTGCCCTTGCACAATTGAGAAATATCAAGTCTAGACTCTGGGAATGTCCAAGAAACCGCACTAACAAGCGAATTGAGTGGAACTTTCTCGTACCTAACACTTACATTTCTCACCATTGGGCGATCCCAAGTGAAGAACACTGTTATAAGCTTTGGCTGGAGTGCAAAAAAGTAAGTGACAAATATTCTACATGTTTCAATGAATGTATTGTTTAGGCCCGGGATTAAACCGGGGACCTCTAGTGTGTGAGACTAGCGTGATGACCAACTACACCACCCTCATTCATATGTCTTTGCCCACAAAAGATTCTTTTAGCATGAAGAACAAACTTTGTATCTCCACTATTTTTCTCTCGATCATTGGAAGGTAGACGCTGCAAATGTTCTTGCAAAATTCAAATGGTTTGTTACTGATGAAGGCTGTGCTCAAGATATGCAGACCTCTTCTTGACAATAGAGCTTCACGATATGCTTATATTAACGCAGGTGTGACAAAACTGGAAGTGGATGATCCACGCTACACGTTCACTGGCGAATTCAAAGTGAACGACGTCCTCGAAATGATAAAGAAGAAGTGTATCTGTGTGGAGTCGATTCAGGAGATTTCTGAAACAGACAAGACACCAGCTGTTGCTGCTCTTCTTGCTGCTAGTTTCATCAACAGTGGTCTGAAGTGTGACCATCGATAGAAGTTTTAAGTTATTTTTATCGCCAATTCTTTGCTTTCTGTGTCAGCTCAATCTCAAGAGTTTTCCTATGTGGATCCATGGAATATAAGGATGGGAGTAAAAACATCGTTGCGTCCTGGAAGTGGAACTCTTCCATAAAAACTATATGAATTCCTCAATTGTAGCACTCTTCTCAGTGGGGCCTTTAGGTTGTCGTCCACCTTGTGAAGTTGTAAATTACTTCGCTTTCTGCAAAACCTGGAAATTTGAGAGAGAATAAAAAAGCACGAAATTTGCTGTTCAAAAGAACAGCAAACCTGTAGACTTTATCAAAAGCCTTAATTCATTGTACCGCCGTTGGACAAAGATACACTATCTCACATCATGTCAAAGTCAATTTTTATTAACGGGGACTTGACTTGACCGCTGAATAGTCAAGCGCACGTGTGCCGACAGCCTTGAAATTTAAACATTGCCGCTCCCGCAAAGATGGGAGGACCACTTCAACGTAGCACTCGCGGTGTTATCAAAAAGAAATAGATGCTACAATTATAGATGCCGAAAGCAGGCTTCTATGCGTGACTGGGCTTTAGACCAGGTATTTCTTTCCCCTAATTTTTGTAATCCCAAGCACACCATTGCAACAGGAGATGCATATTCATTCATTCATTAACTCTTTACAAGGTCTTGTAGTGCCCATGAAGAAGCATGAGACCCATGAAGAAGCATAAGAAGCACTTCAACGTAGCACTCGCGGTGTTATCAAAAAGAAATAGATGCTACAATTATAGATGCCGAAAGCAATTCCCGGAGTCTTTACAAGGTCTTGTAGTGCCCTTATAGTGAGTTGTTTTGATGATGAAAAGAACATCATCTCAATCCCAGCAAAACTCAAGTGGCCCACCTGCAAGATGTCGATGCAAATGTTGCCGTGCTGATCGACATTGGGATGGAAACATGGCGTCTCAAGGTGGCTTGAATGGATAATTGGTGGGAAAGCGCAGCAAGAGCTTGAAAGAGAGACCTTCATACACAGTCTCCCTTGATGATGCCAATCCATGTAAAGATGTTGTCACCATGTGGAAACGCTGAAATTCTGGGATCCCTGCAAGGCTATAGCAAGATCAAAACATAGAAGACACCACTGAGACCAGCTAAGAAAGAAGAAACAATGAGAGCCTTCCAGCCCTTCACAAACCAAATGGAATAAATCAAGAGCAATCAAGCATAAACATACCAAGTTCATCTTCTCGCATATCTCCTCTTCATCACGCGCCAATCGCAATCCTGGATCTTCGCCGCCGCTCTCTTTTCCTTTGCCAGGAAAACCAACTAAAAATTCCCCCACACAAGCACACCTCTCGAATGGCCCACATTTGTTAATAAAAGACAGTGCTCTCTGGCCGCGTATCACCTCGACGGCCTTGCGCTTATCGCCCTATCGCTTATCGCTTATCGGGCTGGTAAAGTGGTCGCCGATAGTGGTTTTTTTTTGCTTTGCTTGTCATCTGTCGGCTATCCAAATAGCCGCATCGGCAGGGAGGGAGGGGTCGATGCTATAAACCCTAAAAGGACTTTCAAACCGCTGCTCCTCCCCCGCGCTGCCACCGCGCTCCACCACGCTGCGCCGCTTCCCGCCACAGCGCAATCATCCTCCGCCCACCATTCTCTGCGTCGCTACGCCTTTACCCGCGGGAATGCGGGAACTCAAATTTGTAAATAATTTTAACTGGAATTAATTTCAATTATAAAGGTTCATGTGATTCTAGCATCAGGAGGAAGAGCAGCAGCAGCAGCAGCAATCGTCCTTTGGCTTCGGCTTGGGCTTTTCCACCTTGATCTCCTGGACAGATTCCACAGAAATACACTTGCGTTTCTTCTCGGTGGCCTTGAGGAGGTCGTCCACCTTGAAATCACCCGTGAAGATGTAAAGGGGATCTTTAACCTCCACTTTCTTCACACCTGCAAGAGCACGAAGATCTCTTGATCAGCGATCACAGCATCGAAATTTGGGAGAATTCGCGGAATCTACACTCACCGGAGACGCCGTGATAGATCTGAGACATCATCTGGTCCTTGCATTTGTTGCAAGAGTCCACTTTCAAGACAACCTGCAGCGAAGAGCTCGAGATCAAACAAGGTTCAAGGAAATCAGTGGCGCAGTGCTCACCTTCCAAGCCATCTTGATTGTCTAAGAATTCGACTGAGATTCAGATCACAACTCGCAACTCGAGACACTAGATTATCGCGATCAACCAGAGGTGGGGAGACGGAGAAGCAGAAGAGAAGAGGGCCCTGCTGCTGACTGGGGAGACGTCATGAATTTATATCCGAGAAGATTCCCAACAGGTCCGAGAAGCAGAAGAGAAGAGGGCCCTGCTGGGAGACGTCATGAATTTTTGATCGAGAAGATTTCCAACAGGATGAAGTGCTCCTTCGTGGAAATTTCTGGCATAATGGATACTCTCAGATACTTGCGTGAATTTGCTTCTTTCCTCAGATGCAAAACTTTTTTGACTGGAAAGTCTCATAGCTCCTGAGAAATCCTTAGGTCGAGAGTTCGAGCCTCAATTCCATTTTCTTTTTCTGCCAACTTTTTCAACCATTTGCCCAAGAGCCCTGGAATCGCCCTAATTTTTGCACAGGAAATGTAGGGCTTGATCTTTCTTGGAGCGATGGATTGGTCCGCGCTGCCGCTCGACGTCTTCCTCCAGATCTTCCGGTACCACGCCCTCGATTTCCTCTTCTTGCTGGCGATCTCAGGCGTGTGCAAGACCTGGCGCGCTCACACCGCCTGGATCGGCACGCTCGTCGTGCGATGGCCGCCGGTGGAAGATCGCCCCCAATTCGACAACCAGGGCGCTATGATCCAGAAGGAGCGCCGCCGAATCTGTGGCAACCATGGGGTGGAGCTCCACCTCTGCGATTGCGTCCACGACGCCATCTCCAGCGTCATCGCGCGCCTCCGCAAGGTCTGGTACCTGGATCTTTGCTGCACAGAGATTTGCCCCCGCGGACCCACGGCAGTGCAAGTCGCCAAGCTCCGCGACGCCGACTGGGCCAAGGTTGTCAAGTCGCTACTCCATCTCGAGCTCGCGGCCGGGGTGGTGGATTCCAGGGCCATGAATCACATCCTCCAGTGCAGCGATCTCCGCGAGCTACGGCTTGTGAGTTTCGAGTTCGCGGATGGATTGGAGTACCCGCTGCTCGGGGATGCCGGCGAGTTCTCGAGCTCCAGCGGCGTTTTGGAGAATCTCTGCCGGCTTTACATCCTCACGTCCTCCATGCAAGAGGAGGCGCTCAAGAGGTTCCTGGAGCGCTGCCCGGAGGTGGAGGAGATCGAGCTCAACGCTTGCGGCGCCAAAAGCGAGAGGGAGTTCAACTTCGAAGCTCCCACCAACTTACACGACTATGATCTCAAGCTCACGTCCTTTAGCCGGTTCAAGAGGGTGAGAGCTGCTGGTGCTCGGCGGCTGGAGATTCTTGGGGGCCAGCTCTTGATCCTGGAGGAGGCGGAGTGTGTCGAGGAACTGGCGGTGCTGCCCGTGTACATAGAATTCGCGGAGCCCGAAGCCATGAAGAACTTCTGGAGGCTGACGCTCAAGGGGAGCTTTTGGGAAGTCCATGAAGCTATGTCGGCTTGCCAGACGGCTCCCACGACCAAGAGGCTTTGTCTGGACGATGATTTTGGAGTCTACTTCTTCCCGTACGTGCAGAGAGATGAAAACGACGACTCGGTCGAGTGCTACAAGCTTTTCTCGCTCATGTTTCGGGGAGGTTCTCTGGAGGAGCTGGAACTCAAGTATGGTTTCCTTTGCCGGGTAAGTTCTTACCTTCTCTTGTCGTTGCATGACTTGACAATGGTTTGGTTTTTCTTGTTTTCAGATGTGGCTAAACGAGCAACAGGAAGACCTGAGTGAGCTTCTACCGAAAATGCCAAAGATTGAGATCCTCGTTCTCGACCTCCACGTACGTCCCGAGAAGGAGCCCAACATTCCGAGGTTTGCAGATTCAGTCGAGTCGCTCATCAACTCTTGCAACATGGATTGGATCTCGCTAAGCTTCGGCGGGGACAACAACGAGGACGTCAACTTCCACCGGGAGTGTTTTGACAAGGAGCTGTTTTCTTCGGTTGTACAGAATGGTAATTTTCTTTCTTTGTTTCTGCAAGTTCTTGCTGATACACTTTCTTTTTCTGTTATTTGCAACAGTTGTGCGCCATGGAAACCCCGGACCTTGTCCCGAGGACGTACGCCTTCAGCAAAACTCGGATGTTAAGCGCTAGAGTTTTGCTATTTACACACACACACACACAGAACCAGGTATTTGGCTTCAAAATCAAGTTGATTCCAGCATATCCAAAGCTTATGTGAAGACGGCATCACGAAGGTTCACGCAACATGCTAGCTAGAGGCCAACGATTGACGAGAGTTAACTAGCAGCGATAGCACTGGATTAATCGGCTCTGAAACCTCTTGGGTGAGTTCCACATATATATTTATCTTATCTTCTCGGCAACTTAGGAGAGCATTCGTATATGAGATTGTTATTTTAGTCTAGGATTACGTGCCTGAAACGTCGTCATTGCTCTAACACGCAAAGGAATGATCCGGAAACTTGGGGACTCTGGTGAATAATATATATGGTCATTCGAATGTGACCTTGTTTATCTTGACGCGAACACATGCATTGTGACAATAGTGGCAAAAGGTCTCAAATCATAGCGGTCAGGTTGGCAAAAGGTCTCAAATCATAGCGGTCAGGTTGGCAAAAGGTCTCAAATCATAGCGGTCAAGTGCTACGACTGAGATTTTCTATTGAAGAGTTTCGTTTCCAGGACGCAAAGGAGTGATCCGGAAACTTGGGGACTCTGGTGAATAATATAATATGACCTTGTTTATCTTGACGCGAACACATGCACTGTGACAATAGTGGCAAAAGGTTTCAATTCATAGCGGTCAGGTTGGCAAAAGGTCTCAAATCATAGCGGTCAAGTGCTACGACTGAGATTTTCTATTGAAGAGTTTCGTTTCCAGGACGCAAAGATGTTCTTACTACCATCCTTTGAATCCACAAAGATGAAAACTTGAGATTGAGCTGACAGAATATATGTAGTATAAGAAACTAGGAAAGCAAGCAATCTAGTTGTCAAGCTTCAGAGACCATTGTCGATGAAACTAGCAGCAAGAAGAGCAGCAACAGCAGGAGTCATGCTTATCTTTGTCCGGCTCCGCAATCTCCTGAATCGACTCCACGCAGATACACTTTTTCTTCTTCTTTATCATTTCGAGGACGTCGTTCACCTTGAAATCGCCAGTGAACGTGTAGCGCGGGTCATCCACTTCCAGCTTTGTCACACCTGCGTGCATAAATTAAGCGCATAGGATGAAACAGCTCTATTGCCATGAAGAGATTTCTCTTGGACGAAACTACGTGCCTGAGACGTTGTGATAGATCCGAGACACAATCTTGTCTTTGCATTTCGTGCAGGTGCATATCTTGAGCACAACCTTCATCAGCAACAAAAACCATTTTTGTGAATTTTGCAAGAACATTCGCAGCGATTACCTTCCAAGCCATTATCGAGAGCAAAATACTGGAGATGCTCTTCTCCATTAAATACCTAAAAAGTCATGACTTTCAATGACTTACTTACCATCATGAGTCTGGGTGGTGTAGTTGGTTATCACGCTAGTCTCACACACTAGAGGTCTCCGGTTCGAACCCGGACCCAGACATGCATTTATTTCGAGAATGTCAGACCTTTTTGGTGCATTCCTAGTCTACGACGGACTTTCTAGCCAAGCCAAAGAGATCAGTAGACCTCTCTCTTCCGATCTCTCAATGGGGCCAAGTTGTGTAAGAGTTCCACTTCTGGTTTCTTGAGCTTTTTCTCATGATCACGTCCCGAGCCCATGCAGACATTGTCCTGGTTGGAGAGAACAGTGCACACGGCACCGACGGCGGCAAACGCTTCGACTCGGATCTCGGTGGCCTTCAAAGTTCTGGGCGATGCAATCAACTTCATCCCGTATATCAAAGGGGTGATATACGTTTGGCAGTTTTTGGGCAAGGAACTCCCAGTGAAGTGACGGAAGGAGTCCGAGCACTGGTCTCGAGTTGACCAATCCTTGCAGCCGACTTCTCAAGCTCGGAGGTAACTTCATTTCTCGTTTCTTTGACGTGCTTAGAATAGTTTGTTCGTGTTCTCTTCTCAGGTAAACCCAGGTCTAGTCGTCTTAGAGTTCGCTTCAGCAGATACCAGACTAAACGCAGGCAAACAGCAGCCGTTTTTCAGTTAATCTCCTTGCCATCGTCGTCCTTCTTGACTCCCTTGCAGCAACCTGACACCGAGTTCTTTCCTGATACTTTCACCCGAGCAGCTGTACGAGCATTCCTGGACACCCCTGACCCGTTTTCAAAGTCTCCGTCAACTAGAGAGCTCTACCAGATGACATAACGTCCAGCATAGTCTGTCTTATAGTCTCTGCAGCCTCTCTGTGAATCCGAATACCCCCACCGTCACGAGCAGCTTCAGCTATATCATATTCTCGCTATCACCATCTCGTTGCAGTCGTTCCCAACATTATACCGCAGCAGTAGCTCCTGTCTCATCTCCGTTGACTGGAAAGCTGATAAGGTGAACACCGTAAGGTGAAGGTAAGGTGAACACCAGCCTCAGCTGCTTGACTAGAGAGCTTTGATCAGAGTTCGCAAGCTGCATCGGCTGATTATGTCCGGCTCAAAGCCGACTTGCACCGTCTCACTGGGTGGAACCTGGAGGTGGTGAGAGTTGGGATCAAGGCTACGACGTGACTGCTTATTTCTTGGACTACTGCAATGGCATTCAAGGTGATTTTTTGTGGCAGATGAATGCAAGGCTTGCAAATGGTGTGTGGAGTGAGTCTGTGTTCTTTGATCTCCTCGGAAAGAGCGTTCGGGACTTGTGGATTGATGATAAGAACGCTTTCAAGTTTTAGTCTATTTTGAAGACAAACTATTGGCCAATTGGCGACAATTTAATGGTAAATGTCATTTTTTATATAATGCCTTGCCTACACGATTTTTTCCTTACAAACATGACTGTATTATATATCTTGATTTTAGTTTTGTGTTTGCAAAATGCATCATCGTCTAGTATTTGTCCTGATAATGAGGTGTTAGGCAAGGTAAGATATAGTACAGCTGTAGCTTCTCCAGGTCAAGGTTTTCATATTCCCCTGCATGAAGCCTTTGACGAACTTCTTCCACTTCACAACCACGAAAAAAAGATACAAATTGGCTCTATGTATGCTACCTCACAGTGCTCAGAGGAGCTTGATATTGATGCATGTGCCTTTTGCTTATCTAATATTGCAGCCTCAATGGAAAGGATTTATCCAGTTCCTCTTGGAGCAAGCTCTTGTTCTGCAGGGGGTGAATGTTATCTCCGCTATGAGACATATAAATTTTAAATTCCAAACTTGAAATAATCATTCAAAAATATTAAGAACCAATGCTGTCTTTGATTAATAACTAGTAAATTAATAAATAATGAGTGATTGGATCTTAAACAAATCCTAAAAGAAAATGGCATTCATGCCCTAGCCTTGTAGCGCCATGGAGGCTCTCGTCGCATCGATCGGAGCTTCTTCATCTCAGTCGCCCTCTTGTCACGACAAGAAATCGGCCAGGTATGTCCCCGCGGCAATGCAGCCCTCGAGGAATCGAGCATCGCCGCTCCCTAGGCTGGCAGCAGCTCGTCGCGATGATCAAGCAGCTACCGCGGCCAGGATTACGAGCGAGCAAGGATCTGCCGCTCCCGCCAAGGAATTCCGGGGGATCCTCGCCTCTCCTGGGCTGCATTTGGGCCCGGCATGCCACGACGCGCTCAGCGCCAAGCTCGTCCAAAACGCGGGCTTCAAATTCACGTTTATGAGCGGTACGCGTGTCTGTTCTTCGTGTTCTTCTTCTTACACAGCACTCTTGTTTTTTTTCTCTACTTCGTCCAGGCTTTGGCGTGTCTGCCTCTAGACTAGCTTGTCCAGACACTGGGCTTATTTCTTATGGAGAGATGGTCGATCAAGGAAGGAACATCACGGCGGCCGTGTCCATCCCCGTCATAGGAGATGGCGACGCTGGCTATGGAAATGCCATGAACGTTAAGAGGACTGTAAAGGGGTACATACAAGCTGGTTTCGCAGGAATTCTTCTGGAAGATCAGGTAACAAGAGATTTTGCTTCTGTTTCGCTAGCACAGTCTGTGGTTTTGAACTACTGTTTTACAGATATTGCCCAAGGCCTGCGGTCACACAACTGGAAGGGAAGTTGTGTCGAGGCAGGAGGCGATTGCGCGAGTCAAAGCTGCGGTCGATGCTCGAGAAGAGTCAGGAGAGGATTTAGTGATAGTTGCAAGGTCTGATGCTCGCCAGGCGGTTTCTTTGGAGGAAGCGCTGTGGCGAGCGGAGGCATTTGCCGATGCGGGAGCTGACGTGCTTTTCATCGACGCTTTGATGTCGAAAGAGGAGATGCGGAAGTTTTGTGGCCGTGTTCCAGCCGTGCCGAAGCTGGTAAGCTTTTTCGTTTCGTCCATTTTTGTCAATGTTGTATTGTTTGTTTTGTTCGAGTTTCAGGCTAACATGCTCGAGGGAGGAGGGAAAACACCGCTGTTGGCACCGATCGAGATTGAAGAAATCGGGTATAAGATTGTAGCCTATCCACTGTCCTTACTTGGGGTCTCAATTCGCGCAATGCAGGTTGGTGTGATGGTTTTCCTTTCCTTTCTTCTCGTTTGATTGCCGTGGAAAACAGGATGCTTTGGTTGCTCTTAAAAGTGGACGATTTCCCAGCAAAGTTCCTGCGTTTGACGAAGTGAAAGACGTAGTGGGATTCAATCGCTATTACGATGAGGAGAAGCGCTACTTTGGTGAGGGGTGTTGGTGTGCAGTACTTTCATCCCTTGTCTATAATCATAATTGTTGCAGGTATCAGCAAAAGCAGGAGAACATCTGAAACCGCTAATAACTTCAGCACGAAAGAAGAAACACCATTCCACGATAAGCAAAGTTCGACTGTGCAAGTTATCACTCCGGAAGTTTTAGAAGAAGATTCTGATTCCGACTGGGCAAAGAAAAGCAGCAATCTGCTTGGAATTTGGTCGCGTGTTCTACGAGTTAAAATAACAGGGAGCAGTGGAATAGTGAAGCTCGATGTCAGAATTCCTGTGAGTGATATTACTTTCCACCGATTGCAAGACTTACGTTCCGTTCTGCAGGCTGGGTTTCTCGATGGTCTGGCTAAAACAATACCTGGTACTAAGGTTTTTAATTGGGTAACCATTACATGCCTGCATCTTTGCAGGTGTTGCTGGGATAAATTTCAAGGAGATACTCGATAACGCGTCGTCTCCCACCAGCGGCCAGCAGCTCCTTGATATTGAGGATAAGCAAGGGGATCGGATCCAAATATTTTTCGAGTGAGGCGTTTGGCGAGCTCAGTAGCAAAGTGCACAGCAAGGCTGCATGCAGTGCGCAACATGACTTACTTTATCGCATTGCCACTAAAAGGTACATAGAACTACTCTCGCTCTCTCTAAATTGATTGAGAGTTCTACTGCGACAGGAAATTATAAAAATGTTTCGAGGACCCGAAATGAAGGACTGCTGTTGAGCGGCAGAGTTTACTGTACGACTTCTTTGTTTCGCTTTCCTCTTTCACATTTCTCTTCATTTCTCTCTATGAGATGGGCATAAGCAGCGAAGAGAATAAGTATGATCTGGCTTGTGTTTGCATTCAGTCATTTAGATTAGTTATCACATAGTTTTTTTCATACAGGTCATAACCCGATAAGGTTGCAGAGTATGTGGGCGTTGCTTAAGATTCATTCTGGAGTGTTTTCTCCTGTAAGAATTTTCTACGCTGGTGCTTCCAGGGCAGTCAGACGCCACGCACAACCAGGTAAACTCAAATTTGGATGATCTCTGCGGCTGAGGTTTGATGGTATTTTTGCAGCGTCTGCAGTACTGATTGATCCATTGGTTTCAAGTGCTTGGCTAGAGAAAAACTTGTACAACGTGTCTATTCTGGATGTCCGAGGTCAGCATTACCCTGCATCTCACTGCGTGACTTTGTTGGTCCCTAGGAATTGTTGACACAAAGACACTGTCTAAGGGAGTGGAAAAGTCGGACTACATCGCCTGCTACGACGATTATCTCTCAGGCCACATTCCCGGAGCAGTGTTTTTCAATTGGGTAAATTTTTCGTTTTTGTTATTGATGTTTTCCTTTTCTAACTCGGTATCTATTTTGCCGAACCAGCTTACAGATGGAATCGACATAAGCCAATCCGAAGTGTCTTGTAGACAACTAACAAATGACACTGCTAAGTTCTCCGCGGTGGTATGTATTAATATACTTGGAATTCCACATTTATAGGCAGTTCTTTTCAGGTAGAAGCCAAAGGAGTGTCATCTGAAAAGCCAGTAGTCGTTTACGATGATTGCGATTGCCTTTTGGCTTGCTGGTTATGGTGGTCTCTTGTAAGACACGGCCACGAGCGTGTGCATGTCCTCGACGGAGGATACAAAAAGGTTCTGAATGTTATATTTTCTTTGTACTTCCTTGGAGTAACTCTATGTTGTACAGTGGACGGCAGAGGGAAGAGCAACTGAACTCTACGAGCCTTGTCCTCTGAAGGTTAATATTGTTCATTCCAGCTACTATAACTTATCGATGTTATGGCAGATTTATGGAGATTTCAAGCCATCAAATCCAAGGCCTTTCACTTCAGTCACTTGTGATGAGATTCTTGAGCTCTTGTCGACAAAAGACCAGAGTATAGCATTTGTGGACGCTCGAAACTTAGAACAGTACTCGGGACATGTTAGGAGATCCAAGCGTGCCGGAAGAATTCCAGGTGCCATCAGCATTCCAAGAAAGGTGCGTCGATGCATTCTTTTGCGTGTAATATATTCAGCAAGGTCTTCACCAGAGCTTGATTACTACCAATGGGATCTTTAAGACAATAGACGAACTGCGAGAAGTGTTCCTTAATGCTGGACTCAACCCGGCGCAGCAAAAGAGACTAGTAAGTAGAATCAAAATGGAAATGCTCTACCTATTAACTTTCTCTAGCTCAGATTTTCTACTGCAATGGAGGAGTAGCATCTTGCAGCGTCTTACTATCATGGCACCGGATTGGTGGCAAGCTCTGGTCAAATTACAGTGGCAGCTGGAACGAATGGGGTAACAGAGAGGACGTTCCTGTTGAGTAAGTAGTATCGAATTAATTTGGACAACTTGCTTTTGCGTAACTCAGCTGATTTCTGTTCAGGTCATAGATCACCATGTAGACAAGCAACCAACATGCATGCTCGTTCCAAGGATGCCCAAGTCCGCGTTTGGGCCATCAGGTTCTTTAATCTTAACACAAGTGTGAGCACCGAAAAGGTAGCTCACTTGAAACGGGGTGCGAGCGGCACCGAAGTAAAATGAGCAAAGGAAGGCTTTTCAGCGACTGCCCTTCGTTGTAGTGGTAACACAGGGGACTGTCCAAAGCTTTGGAAGCCTGCGTTAGCGCTCTATCAAACGCGATTTGCACACTGGTGAGGAGGTCTTCCAGCTTCTTGGCTGGAAGAAGCACCGGAATCGAAGATAAGTCGAACTGATGCTAAGATGAAGTCGCTCAAGCAAGTGGAATGGATTTTTCACAGGCATGCCGGTTGGAAGGGCAAGCTTGAAGAGTATAGATGGGCTCCGGATTTCTACAGTGGAGGGAAATTCAATACAAAGTGAAAATGGATTGTTCATTCCTTGGCCAGAAGAACATGGAGAGGATGCAATAAAAGCAGTACAAACTTTTCTCATTCTATACCATTAACCAGGAATTAGTCTAGATGATCCAAAATTTATATTGCCTGTTGAAGATGCCTAGAAGAGCTCTTGGAAGATCTAGATGTTGCTTTCAAGATTGTTATGGCTGTAAGAAGTTTAGATAGTTGGTAGACTAGACTCATTGTGGCTATTGGGTTAGTAAAAAATAAAACTCAAAAATAAATAAAACTAATACAACATTGAATTGATCTTTATGATAATATAAGTTTAATAATATTATTTAGTAACTTCAAATATGACATTTAAGGAGTGATTAAGCAGTGCTAGAATCTCTAACTTCTGTCTAGAAACTTCTACACGAAAAATATTTCTTTATAAAGTTTTTTGCTATTATTATTGGTCAAATCAACAGTTAAAGAAAAATTATAAGAAAAATTGTTATTTAAACAGAAAGGAAAATGTAATTCTATTATTTCCAGTGTGTAAGTATCATAATTATTTGTGTCCCAGATTTTAAAGATTTCACTACAATGCTAAAATCAATATATTAAAATTTACAGCTACAAACTATACAATTCACTTTAAATCTATTTAAAAGAGGTATATATGGGATTCATGGTTAAGATAAAATTATCAATCCAGGGTATTAAATTATAAAGTTTTATGTTAAATTTTGTGAGTTTGGCAAGTTTTCATAGTAATTATTGATAATAGTAAATATTATAAATGAATTTATATTCCATATAAAAGATACTTTCATCCATTTTAGTGGGTTTTATGGTTGTAACCCTTCTCTACCATGATTGTTCTTTTTCTCGGTGCTACAATTGTAAGTCTATAATGAGAAGGTATCTTTTGACATAAAATAGTTATATGATGGACAAGTGAAAATTTTGTGTTTAAATTAAGATGGTGAAAAAATTAAGAATTCACACCTAAGTTATAAAAGGCATGCAAAATCCTTAACTTAACATTGTTTTTGCACTTAAAGTTAGGAATATTAATGTAAGACTAAAATCCCTAAGTGGTAAAATAGAGCTAAAGGTGTGTCATGTGCTAAAGCAAAAGTTTAATAAATGTAACACATTTGGACCAAAAACTCTAACTCAAAAAGTTAAGAATGTGAATAGAATTCCTAAAAAAGGGTTTGAGAAACAAGCATCAAGTAATTAATAAATGAGTCTCTAGAAAAAGAAAAAAAAAAAAGAAGAAGGATTGACATATGACAAATGTTATAATATGTAGAAGTGTTGAGATTGAATCTAGGATTAAGTCCAAGATCAAATCTAACATTAAATTTAAAATTAAGTTCAAAACTAAAATTGAGACTGAGACCAAAACTAAGACTGAAATTGAAACTGAATCCAATAGATGAAAGCCCAAAGTAATCATCTCTTACACTTTAAAGGATTTAGTGAGTCCTTACAAAATGATAGGAGGAGGACTACAAGAAAATTAATGTGGGCCAAAAAAGTTAGTGTAACAAAAGGATATACTCACGTGGTGGATGATAATATAAACATTAGGGAGTTTAAGATTATAATGAATATGGATAAACAAAAAATGTGACTTGGTGAAGTATTTAAAAGTTAGTTTTAGATTCTTTAAGAAATCGAATGGTCAATATTTCCAATTTAAGTATAGGTTGCACTACTTACTTAAATATTTTGTATGGCTCATTAGAACCTTGATTTAGCTATATAGTTGGGGCTAGAGTACTTAGACAATTTATGTTTAGCCATAGTATTTTGAAATGTCATTATAAAGTCCTTAACAATAAAAAGGAAGAGGAGTCACATTTTTGCTTAATAACTAAAGGTATAGTTACATAGTGTAATAAGTCTTAAAGATTAGTAGGATTTAGTGGTCATGATGTTAGCGAGTACTATTATGGATTAAGGGTTTAGTGGGGATTGAATAAAGGATATTGGAGAATGTTATTCCTTATGTTTTGGGGCATTTTAAGGATGTTAATAATTAGTCATAGTATAATCATTCATGAATGAAATATTTAGTTTTGAAGAAATGGGATTGTGGCATATAGTTTTTTACTACCAATAAAATAGTGAAGATGGATATAATTTTAACATAAGAGGTTCGTATTTCAACTTTTAGCTGTTTAAAATGAAATTAAACACATGGAACACTTAGATTGAATGCAAAATTAAAATAACCTTGAGATCACTTATAAGAGTTAGTAAATAACCCAAATTGGGATGAAGATCTATAGAGATTATGAGTGAAACTCCTTCAAGTAATTTAAAGTGTGGTTAATTGGATAAAGTAGAATAGAAAATTTAGTCAATTATAATTAACAAAAAAGTCATCCTACTATTGCAAGAATTAGATCTTGGGTTTATTTATAAATATGACATCATGCCTCTTAAGTTGGGAAGATGGTCTAGAAACATAGTAATAATCTCTTCAGGAATATTATGGTTTTTGAACGTTGTAAATTTATCTATTGGAAATCATTGTAAAGAATTTTAAATATATTTAAACTCATATATATATGTTTTTAAATAAATTGTCTAAAATCTAATTGACATTTTGTTATGCCTTTAAAATCCATATGAATGACTATGAAAGTGTTATATGCCACGGCTAAAGGTTATGGCATTTTCACCACCACTTTATTATTGTGTTTTAGAATTACAAAATAAAAGCTACACTATAATGCAATTAATTTGGATGAAGTGTTGTTTGCTTTTTGACAAACTAAGTATGAAAAAGCCCAAATGTGTTAGATTCCATATTGTAGTTATCAATAATTAGCTGTTGTGCAATGCAATAATACCATGTAATAATTTCCTCTAAATGTCTCTTTTTGAAAAGAAAAGAAAATTCAAAATTAATATCCATTATAAAGATCCTTACACATACTGTTTAGTATCTCCGAATTTAAATTATTTCCAAGTTCTATATAAACATTGCATCATTAAGTAACAAGAGTTAGTGGGGAAAACAAAAAAAGAATAGAATGTACTAACATTTAAATGAATTGAGGAGACAATGGTATAATAACGTGATAAAAGAATATAATTGTAATGAATCTAAAAATATATTATAACTTTTATAGAAATTACTTTCTGAATTAGTTTTGTGATGTCATCACATATATTTCATAATAAAACTTGTAGAAATTTACTTTTTGCTAAAAATAGTTAAGTTTCATGAATAATTTTTTTTCATAACTTTTTATTATACAAAGCTCGAGCTAAGCAACCACGAGCAGCGCTTGAAAAGTCTGCCATCATTGGTTACTCAGGCTGGATCATGCAAGACCTACGGAATGGTGGTAGAGCACCTCTGCGCAAGGAATACGCTCCTGCCGCCGCAGGACGCTGTGCTCGAGGGGAGGATGACGGTTGCGCTGGATCTGGACAACACACTCGTCTCCTCCACGTCAATTCTGCTGCACCGGCGGAGCCAGTGTGATTTCGAGGTGAGAGATAATGGCAGTCGCAAGTGCATCAAGAAGCGACCGCATCTCGACGAGTTTCTGGACGCCCTGGCGCTGTTTGCCGAGGTTGTGCTCTTCAGCTCGGCCCCCTACGCAGCTCGATCCTCGCGGGACTCGCTTCCGATACGTTCTTGGCCTGAGTGATTGCACGCTGTGGCACGACACCCGCTCGGCAAGGAGGCGCTGTTCAAGGATCTGGCCATCCTCGGCAGGGACTTGCGCAAGGTTGTGCTGGTGGACGACGACCCTGGCTTCTTTTGCCAACCTGGGAGTGGCAACGAGATTGTGATTGGGAAGTTCACTGGGCAGAGGAGCGACGACGAGCTTCTCAAGCCACTTCCTGTGTTGCAGTCTCTGGCACAGCTCGACGACGTGAGGCCTGCTGTAGCCTCAAGCACAAGGTAATAATAGTTCACTTGTTCTCGATCTAAAAGCTTCAATGGTGTTGGTTTTCTACGTAGTTGTGAGAGGTCAAGGCCTGAAGAGACGTGGCGAATGGCTATAGAGGACAAGTATTCGAGGAAGTTGTTTTCATGTTAAGGTTTGGTGAAGTTGACGATTAGCCAGAACTAAGACTTGTTTGGTGAAGTTGACTCAAAGCAACGTGGGGTTTCTTATTTGATCCATTTGATGCAGAAGGAAACAAACCCGGAAGCGGGTATATCCAAACGCTGGCAGCAAGAGACATCATGACCATCGTCGCGTGTGAAGGGCTAGTGGACACGTATCACATCTGGGATGCTCGGGTGAAGCGAGCAGGCTTCGAAGGGGTGGCAGTGACGGAGGAGATTTACGAGAAAGTGAGTGGCGCCTGCACGAGCAGGAACAAAGAAGTTAAAGAAAGAATGTAGCTGGTTACAGGCACAGGGTGGATGAATGGTGTTTGAAGCGCGCTAGCTTCTCAATCGGCTTCCAGACGCTCAAAGCATTCAAAACTACGTCTTTCTCGTCCATTCAGCAAGTCAAGTTCTCGCAAATGGACATGACCATCTCGAGCCAGGCGGTCCCAGGTTTTGCACGAGGAGATGCGCTCCACATATCCATGAAGTCAAGCTGCGACTGGTCGATCAACCCGAGCTTCATCGTCTCCTCGAACGACTCCAGCCTCGCCAGGAAGCTCCTCCAGGCCCTGTCGAAGCGGTGGATAAAAAATGGAGAGCTTATGTCAGCGTGCACCACGGACTGGAACAACATAACAGGCTTGAAGCTGAGGATCTTCTCGAAGAAGAGCTTCCGGGGCTGTCGATGATCCCGTCCTCGCAGACGTGCCACATCCAAAGGATGATATCTCGGCTGCGCTGACTCCCATGCCACGGTGGCGATGGAGTGCAACTCGAGGTGCATCCCACACGTAGTCGACCAGCCGGTTTTCTCGAGGTTGACACGGGACGGGAAGTTAATGCCGGTGATCTTGAATAGTGGCAGCCCCTCGGCTCTCTCGGACAGCGCCTTGATGAGCGACGGCCACTGATCGCCATAGAGGACCCCATAGTCAATTATGTGGACGCGCTTGGCAGGATCATCTGGTTGGTGAAGCGCTCCATGGCCCGGAGGCTGGGAAGATTCATCCGGATGGAGATACTCTGCATCCTCGTCACGTCCTGGTGCATCGCAGCGTACATCCGAGCTCCACACCCGGACAGCCTTCTCCACTGGACGCAACTGAGGTGAGGCTAAAGTTCTGATCTCTCTCACGAGCTCATGGACTTCGGTAGAATTGTTGGCAGCCACGGCGGGCGCAGTCCATGAGCTTTAAGCTGTGGAAAGAGACGGTGGAGGTGCGGAGGAAGAGAGGCGGCGTCCATGGACGAGGTACTGCTAGCACAAGAATTTGGGGAGAGACAAGGAGACAATTTCCGTGAGCTCGCAGAGCAGTCTTTTGCCATTGCCACCACCACTCTTAATTCCAGATTTACTAAATAAAATTTGATTCGGTTGGAAGTTTAAGCAATCAATAAAGAATATTAACTATTGATTAAATTATAAGATTAAAAATAATATGCTAAGAATATTCTTAAAACTCCCAAACAATATCAAATAAATATATAAGATAACTTTCTTAAAGACCAATAGAAGCACAATGAAGGTTGCCATCTTCTTTCTCCCTCTCATGTTTGTGAGCACTACTTTGAGAGTGGATATTTGTGAGCGCTACTTTGAGAGTGGATATGGAAGGATGTGAAAGATGCGATGGCTAAATTGTTTCTGGCAATTGATATCCTTCCAAAGGACAACTTGATTCGTTTAAGGGATTCAAGACTTGATCAAGTTTGAATACAAATGGGCCAAGAGTGCAATTCAAAGCTAACAGCACAAGAAGTCTTTCAACAGGATTATGACACACACAATACTCCATATTATGGTAGACTTAATCTTGATGATCCAAAATCAAATTTGTCTGATGAAGATGAAAGACTGATGAGCCTGGAAGAGCCTTGCGAGATCTTGGAAGATGTTGTCTTCAAAATTGTTATGGCTGCAAGAAGTCCAGATGTTATAGAAACAGTTGTTGTAGTAAAATAGAAAAAAGTAAAACTAAAACATAGAAACTTTCAAGAAAATAAAGAATGAAAATTTAAACTTCAGATCTTGTACTAGTGCATTATGCGGTCTAGAGAATAAATTCAAACTTCAGATCTTGTACTAATGCCATTATGCCGTCTACATTCTCTAGAGGAAAACTCGCCACCTTCTTCCTCAAGTCGAAATAACTGTAGAATTATCGGCTTCCTTTTTCACAAGACGAGTCAAAATAACTGTAGAATTATCGGCGACGAGTCGAAATAACTGTAGAATTATCAATTTTCTTTTTCACAAGACAAGGCCTATGCAATGTTGTGTATAACCTTTTCAAGCAAACACCCAAATCCATATGTTAAGGTTGGGGAATATATTTCTCTTGAGCAAAGCAACAGACACACCAAATTTACAATGTTTTTATGTTTCTCGTTTCCACCTATATGTTTTCTGCCTGCTCTACTTCGTCTTCTTTCACAGCTTGGAGTGGGGCGTTCTCTGAGAGGTAAGAGAAAGTGCCGTTGATAAGACGAACCTGTGGTTCCATGGCATTGATGGCCTTCCAATCATCGTCAGCCAAACACCAATCCAGGATGTCGATGTTGAGCTTGATCCTTTCGGGTGTCAAGCTCCGAGGAAGAACACTCGTCCCTCTTTGCAATCCCCATCGCAGTATCACCTGCAAGTGCACCAATACTTGAGAAAACTAGTGACGAAACAAGACACAAACTCGTACCTGGGCTGGAGTTTTCCCGAGTTCTTCAGCGATGGCTGCAACTACAGAAGCTTTGAGCATTGGACTGTTCACGGATTTGGTTCTTAAGAACGTCTTTCCTTCAGCGCTGGAGCTCTCACTGTTACTCGGGAGTTGCAAACTTCCAATGTTGGTGCCCGGAATCCCGAGCGGTGTGTGGGCCGAGACATGGATTCCTTTCCTCTTGCAGAACTCCACCAGATCGTCTTGCCTCCAAAAAGGATGTAACTCCACCTAAAAAATCCAATGAAGTGACAAAAGCTTTAGAGAATCCTTGAAGAAGAAAACAAACGACCCATCCATACCTGGTTTACTGCTGGAACTATGAGACAAGAGCCCAAAAGCTCTTGAAGCTGTGAGATCCCAAAGTTGCTCACACCTATAGCTCGAACTTTGTTCGTGGCAAGCAACGCTTCCATGACTTGCCACGACTCTTTGATCTGTCTAACCTCTTCCCGATGCTCCAAGGCAGCAGCTGGAGGTGGATCGGTAGCGTCTCCCATCGGGGCTGGAGTCGGCCAATGGAGCAAGTAGAGATCCAGATAATCTAGCCCCAAGTTCCTAAGCGACGCATCCACGCACGTCTCAACATGCCGTGGGGTCTTGGCAGTGAACCACAGCTTGGAGGTCAGGAAGAGATCCTCGCGCTTGATCCCTCCTCCATCTCCAAGGATCTCCCTCAAGGCAAGGCCTACCTGGATCTCATTACCATACAAATGCGAGCAATCTATGTGCCTGTATCCAGCCTCCAGCGCCGCAAACCTCACTGCTCTTGTGCACGCCTCGCCATCGGCCTCCCAGGTTCCAAGCCCAACCGCGGGAATCCTTGCACCGGTGTTGAGCGGGAAGAAATCCGTCATGATCCTCGTCTACTCGCTCGCCATTCACTCAAGAACCCTAAAAATCGGGCAATTTGGGGGCAGATCTTTTTCTTGGCGCCCAAAATTCAAATTAGGGCTTTCGCGCCAAAAATTTCAAGTTTTTGGCTAGCAGCGCCTTAGGAGCTGTATTTCTATTGTGAGCCCCGGGCCAAAGGAGAGCAACACGCCCCATTCGCCGCTACGCGAGCTCTGCCGTACGATTTCCTCGAGCACGAACAAGACTGTGGGGCTGGACATATTGCCGTACGATGCCAGTGTCTCCCTTGTCACGCGGAGCTTGTCACTGCGTAGCCCTAGCTTGGTTTCGATTTGATCCAGTATCGCTCGCCCTCCCGGATGGATCGCCCAGAAGAGATCATTCGGAGCCAAATCCCTCGTCTTGGAGGATGCCGCGAGCGCGCTGGGCAGCAATTCGCAGACGCTACTGGAGATTAGGGCTGGGACGTGCTTGGAGAGAAAGTAGATCAATCCCTGCTCGCTTAGGGTAGCGGTGAGATCGTCCTCACTGTCTGGGACGAAGAACTGGCCGGCCCAATGGAGCTCGAGGAGCTGCCCGGGGCTGGAATTGAGCTTGGGATCCCGGCAGCCCACCACGAGTGAAGCGGCGCCGTCACCCACGATGGCGGAGCCAACAAGCCTGTCGGGATGCTTCTCGTTGGGCGGCCGGAATGTGAAGGCCCCAACTTCGCTGCACACGATGAGGACACGTGTCGAGATTCCGCCGCTCTCCGCCATCTCCTTGGCGATTCTGAGAGCGGTTCCGCCGGCGTAACAGCCTACCTGATTGAGCATCAATCGACGGACGTCGTGGCGGAGGCCCAGAATCTTGGCGATGGCCAGGTCAGGGCCGGGCATGCGGATGCCGTTGGATGTGGCCACGATCAGGTGGGTGATTTCCGCCGCGGAATGTCCACCTTCCTGGAGAGCTTTCTTGGCGGCCCGGGCGCCTAATGCGGCCACTTCGGCATTGGCGATGGATTGCCTGGCCAGAAGAGAGGATGTCTCGCTGCTATCTTTGCAAAGCTCTGGATTTCCCGCGAGGATCGATTCGGTGAGATGGAGGTGGCGCTTCTGGATTCCCGACTTGTCACCTATGAATTCGAAGAACAACACAAATGTTGGATGGATACCACATTTCTCAATTGGCGCAGGAAAACTACTCACAGATCCTCTTGAATTTCTCCTTGAGCTCCACCAGATTCTCTGACTCTGTGATCCGGAAGAAGAAATCCGGGTACTCGCTCTGCAGCACGAATTCCTCTGGAGTAGCGGTGCCAATTGCGAGAATCGTCGCGACACAATGGTTGACATCTTCTTTTTCAATCATCGTCGCAAGGCATGATCGATCAATCCTCAGAGAGAAATTGAAGAGAGGAGATATAAAGTCTAACAGCATAAGTATATTTATGTGCTAGCCTCCAAATTTTCTATTAGGCCACGATGGGCACTTCTGAGATTCGACCCCACGACTGATTAGACACCACGGTTTCTTATTTGTCCACGTGGTGTTTTCTGATTAAAGAATAAAAATTTGCGTGGCAAACTCTGATTGAGAGGATTCCGTGGGATTCTGTGGCTGTAAGGGTGGCCTTATTTGGGATCTTCTCTAGCGCCATAGCTTGGGGGATCTCGCGGTCGGGGACGGACTTGCTGCGTCATCGCATTGTCGCCGCGATCAATCCAGGTATCTTTGATCTGCTCGGATGTGATAGACGTCGGGATTCAGCTGTTAGAGCGATGCCGCGGTGACAAGAATCCCTCGTCTTCCTCGGAAATCCAGAATGCAGTGTTACGGTTTCCTCCAGACGAGCTGCGTTTCGTGCCGCATTTTCAGTGATCAGACGCTTGTGGCGTTGAGATCGATCAATCCGCGGCAATGCGCTTGCCGGATCCAGTCCTCGCGGATTATGCTATCTCGCACGCGCGATGATTTATTTTTGTCCAAGATGTTTGGAGCCAGCCCCAATTCCAGGAGGCTTAAAGATTCCGGAAGAAAGAGAGCTACCATTTTTGTTCCACAGGCTGCTTCAGAGGTACTTAAAACTTTGCTCCTGGTCAGTTCTAACGATGATTTCTTTCTTTCTCTTTTACTGTTTGTGTTCTTTCTTTTTAGATCTCTCAAGATTTCAATCTTGATGGTGGTGGCATTTTAAAGGTAAGCACGCAAAGCTCTCTCTCTCTCTCTCACACACACACACACACTCTTTTCACCTCATTCCAGATTAAAACGGGTGTGCAAAAGGATGGCGGCCCAGCTTATGTCGAGTTTCAAGTTCACAACACCCATACCACATCTCTCTTTCTTCACTGGGGCGCGCTTAAAGCAAATGATGGGTGAGTTCTGCCGTGTTTCGTTTTGCCTCGTTATGTTTCTCACATGTTTGCTGTGGGGTTCACGTGTAGAAAGTGGAGGCTTCCGTCGCATCGACCACCTGGAACACGGGATTTCAATAATACTGCGTTGCAGTCGCCTTTTGTTACGGTGAGCCTAAACTTTGTGGCTGAGTCTGTTAAAGGAAGTTTTTGATCACCACTCGCAGTCTGGTGATGTCAATACGTTAAAGGTTGAAGTACCCGACAAAGAATTGAAGACGATCGAGTTTTTGTTGCGGGATGATGCGACTGACAGATGGTGAAGCTCAGCAGACTTTAACGTTTTCTAAGGAAATCTACGTTCTGATTTGTGCAGGTTCAAGCTCAATGGCAAGAATTTCCGACTGGACATTCCTCACTCACAGGTATATATACCAGAAGACCTCATTGCCCTTCAAGCATTTATTAATTGGGAAAAAAAAGGGAAAAAAAACTACACACCTGAACAAGAGAAGGTAGATGAATGCCTCGTGCTTGTTTGGAAAATCAGCCGTAAAACATGCTCTGTTGATGTCAGTCAGAATACGAGGATGCGCGCAAGAAACTTCAGGAAGAGGTTGCTAATGGTGCAACTATCGAGAGTGTTCGAGCAAAGCTGAAGGGAAGCAACTCGGCTCCACCAAAACCGGCTTCAAGGGGATCCGGGGGCAGGATTTCAAGGAAGCAAAGAGATTTTGGAGAGCTTATTAACAAGTATACAGGTAAAACTGAAGAGAGTACACCTGTATCTGCAACACCTCGAGAAACTAGTAAATTGGAGTCGGCATTGTCACAAATGGCGGAAGAAGCGGGTGATGCTGTTCTTTTCAAAAAAGTATTTAAGCTGGGCAACAAAGAGCTTATGGTAAGGTCGTCAAGTTTTCCTTACCTTGTTATTGATGAGAAAATTGTGGTGCATGTAGAATAGACTATTGCGACCAAGGTTGATGGAAATGTTCGTGTGACCATTGCGACTGACTTTGAGGAGCCTGTGGCTATTCACTGGTCATTATCGCAAGATAATCCAAGAGAGTGGAAGGTAAAACTTTTGCCAGATTTCAAGTTACCTTCTGGGTAAATGCAGAGGCCGCCAGCAGAGTTGCATCCTCCTGGATCTGAGGACATGAAAGAAGCAGTAGATTCGCCTTGCGAAGGAGAATTTGGCGGTGACACATCTTTGCAGGTAATGCAGCATTTGTTTTGTTCCTTAATAAGTTTGCTCAATCGTCAATTTTTGCTCACTCTTGTGTTATAGTCCTTGGAAATCGATCTTGGGAAAGGAAAATTCCTTGGAATGCCGTTCGTTGTAAGAGCGGGAAGCAACTGGATTAAACTTAATGATTCGGACTTCTATATCCCTCTTCAACCATCCGAGAAGAAGGAAGCAAAGGTAGCTTTGTACATCGTAATTTTAATCCTGAAAGCTAGTGTTCTTTCTTTATTCCAGGGAAATCTAGATGGTTCAGGCACTGCGAAGTGGTTGCTAGATGAGATGGCCAGCTTGGAAAGTGAGGCGGAACGTTCGCTGATGCACAGGTTCTATCCTCCGCTTTCGAAGTTTTTGCTGTTCATAATTTTTATAGTTTCCTATAGGTACAATATAATGGCAGATTTGTTGCAGCGCTCAAAAGATGGCGGAGAACTTGTAATTGCGGGATTTCTTGTTTGGCTGCGTTACATGGCCATGCGCCAACTGACTTGGAATAAAAACTACAATGTGAAACCTCGGTTAGTACACAATTTCCAAATAACAATATGCTTATGCACTATATAATTGGCTGCAGTGAAATCAGCGCTGCTCAAGACCGACTAACAGACTTACTTCAGGCAATCTACGTGGAGCAGCCCCATAATCGGGAGCTTGTCCGACTAACTTTAAGCACCGTCGGAAGAGGTGCACAAGGGGACGTTGGCCAACGGATTCGGGATGAAATATTAGTTATACAGGTAGAGTTGATATTGTCTTTGTTTGCGTGCTGAAATAGTCTAAAAATGCAGCGGAATAACGATTGCAAAGGCGGTATGATGGAAGAATGGCATCAAAAGTTGCACAATAATACTAGTCCTGACGATGTTGTTATTTGCCAGGTAAGTGCCTTATCAGAAAAAACTTATATGTTTGAACAACGAATTTTTTCTGTAGGCTCTCTTGGACTACATCTCAAGTGATTTTAATATTGATGTGTACTGGAAAACCTTGAACGACAACGGAGTCACAAAAGAACGTCTGGCAAGCTACGACCGACCGATTGTCTCAGAACCAAGGCTAAGACGAGACCAAAAGGATGGTTTACTTCGAGACTTGAAAGCGTATATGAGAAGTTTGAAGGTACGTTGCAGGCTGCATTTGAGTAGCTACCTGATTCCGTTTTTACTGTGTAGGCGGTTCACTCAGGTGCAGATCTAGAGTCCGCCATCTCAACATGCATGGGTTACTCTTCAGAGGTAATAGCTCTGTGTGCTCTCATTTTGATTGGCTTATTTCTTGAAACAGGGACACGACTTCATGAAAACAATTGATGTGCATCCCATTAGTGGTCTGTCCCCAGCGTTGCCGGTAATAATCATGAGTTTTCTTCGTTTCTGGTTGATTCACTCACGTGGATTCGCTCCAGGAACTGTTAAGGTTTGTCATGCAACATGTTGAAGACAGGGACGTGCTTCCACTTCTTGAGGTTCGTCTTTCCTGTAAGGAGCGGTGTTAGGATCATGTTTCTGTGCAGGGTTTATTGGAATCCCGAAGGGAGTTACTCCCAACTCTTCAGAAACCTCATAACAGGTTAAAAGATATCATTTTTTTGGACCTTGCTTTGGACTCCACGGTGCGGACTGCAGTAGAAAGAGGCTTGGAAGGATTGAGTAAAGCGAGCCCCTCTGTAAGCCAGCTCTAAAATGCACTCATTTATTTTCCCTCGCTAAACATCTTTCAAACATTTTCAGGATATGATGCTCATAATTTGTCTTGTTCTGGAAAACTTGTGTCTGTCAAGCGATAGCAATGAAGAGCTCGTTTACTGTTTAAAGGTAGAGGCTTTACTTTATGAAAAAATGTCCTCTAACAGCTTCCCTTTGCAGGATTGGTACAATATCATCAAGCTTTGCAACTCTAAAGCCGAAAACTGGGCGTTACAAGCGAAATCAGTTCTTGATCGCACTCGTCTTGTTCTTGGTGATAAAGTAGAGCATTATCAAAAGGTTTTGCAGCCGACAGCTGAGTATCTTGGTATTTCATTTGGCGTCGAACAATGGGCCGTATGTACTTACTTTTATGCTAACTCCTGATCAAAATGTTGGAATGTTGTTTCTGTGTCAGATGGAAATTTTTACAGAGGAGATGATACGAGCGGGCTCAGCCGCGTCTCTCTCTGTTCTTCTCAATCGATTAGATCCGGTTTTGCGTAGTACAGCGCATTTAGGAAGGTGTGTTTTTGTTTCTTTCTATGCATGTTTGTCTTACAATTTTTTTTCCATACAGTTGGCAAGTTATTAGTCCAGTAAATGTTCAAGGTTTTGTCTCGGTAGTACATGAGCTCGGTGACGTGCAAGATAAAGTTTATGATAAGCCGACAATACTGATATCCGGAAGAGTCAAAGGGGAGGAAGAGATTCCTGATGGCGCAGTTGCAGTTTTAACTCCTGATATGCCTGACGTGCTCTCTCATGTATCTGTGCGTGCACGAAACAGCAAGGTAAATGCCAGAGTTTCAGGATGCTTCAAAAGTCACTCTGATTTTTCGCTTATGATAGGTCTTATTCGCGACATGTTTCGATCCTAACATTTTAACGGACCTGCGTTCGTTGGAAGGCAAAGCTTTAAAGCTGCAGCTCACTGCGTCTTCTGAGATCGTGTACAGGTAGTACGAATGACAAGGCTCTTTTTCTTACGTTGGTTTTGCCATAGTAAGGTGAGCGACACGGAGTTGTCAGGCGACGTTGCTGCAGCAGTGGAGGAGGAACCCCCGCACATTGTGTTGAAAACCAAGAGATTCATGGGAAAGTACGCGGTCACGGCCGATGAATTCACGCCTGAGCTGGTAAAGTAGGATCCATTTCTGTGTTCGTTGTTGACAGCATTTAGAAACAGGTCGGCGCTAAATCTTTGAACACTGCAAACCTGCGAGGGAAACTTCCTTCGTGGATAAAACTTCCAACTTATGTTGCGTTGCCATTTGGAGTTTTCGAGGAAGTGCTTTCAAACAGTATCAACAAGGTACTGGTCCGCTCTAATATTTTTCAGGTTGACGCTTTCTTTTGCCTCGTTGCAGGAGGTTTCCGCAGAAGTTGAGCGGCTTAAAAAGCCGCTGCTCGGCGGTGATTTGAGCAAACTCAAAGAAATTCGCGACACTATTTTGAAGCTCAAGGCTCCACCGGAACTGGTAAAGTCGGCTGCCACGACACTTATACTAAAGTTCTTGACTCTTTTGTTTCGAACAGGTTGAGGAGCTGAAAACTACAATGATCAATTTCAACATGCCATGGCCGGGTAACGAAGGCGAGCATAGATGGGAGCAGGCGTGGATGGCCATCAGACGAGTATGTCCCCTCTCTCCTTTTGTTCTTTTCCTCTCGTGCTGAAGCGTTGGTCAAACAGGTGTGGGCGTCGAAATGGAACGAAAGGGCCTTTATCAGCACTCGCAAGGCAAAGATAGATCACGAACATCTTCGCATGGCAGTGTTAGTTCAGCAGATTATCTGCGCGGACTATGCCTTTGTCATCCACACTACGAATCCTTCGAATGGGAATGCCTCGGAAATCTACGCAGAGGTAAGGAAACCAAGCTTGTTTTTCATGTTTTTTAGAAAAAAAACTTGTTTCCAGGTCGTCAAGGGATTGGGAGAGACATTGGTTGGCGCATACCAAGGCCGTGCGTTGAGTTTTGTCACGCAGAAATCAGACTTGAAAAACCCAAAGGTAACTGAAGTTTCTCGTCTTTTCTCTTGGTAAAGCTTGCATTGCATTCTCTGTTGGAGCAGATCTTAGGATTTCCCAGCAAGCGACATGGCTTGTTCATCAAGCCTTCGGTGATTTTTCGCTCCGATTCCAATGGAGAGGATCTGGAAGGCTATGCCGGAGCTGGTTTATACGACAGGTAACTTCGCATTTCCTTTTCCATTGAAGAGCAAAGCTAAAGCCATGATCAAACAACAGCGTTCCAATGGATCGAGAAGAAGAGCGAGTGGTGGACTACTCCACGGACAAGTTACTCCTGGATGCGAGTTTCCAGAAGACGATTCTATCCAACATCGCTAGCGCCGGAGCCGAGATCGAGAGAGTCTATGGAACTCCTCAAGATATAGAAGGGTGTATCAAAGATGGAGAGCTCTACGTTGTCCAAACGAGACCTCAAATGTAAGAGTAGAAATTGAAAGTTAAGAGTTTACTACGGCGTGGTAAAACGTGAGACCGCCAAGTAACTAAAAGGACGGTACGGTATCGTGAAAGCCAGGCGCGTGAGAGAGAAGAGAGCTAGGCTAGAATTTGCGGGAGAGAGCGAGAGCGCGGGAGGGACAGCGATGGCGCAAGCAATGGAGCTGCCGGCGATGCCAGCGGAGGCGAAGCTCTTCGGCAAGTGGAGCTATGGCGATCTTGCGGAGGTTTTGTGGAATTTCTTGCTTCTTGCTGCCGCCGGTCGATCGATCGATCGATCGATCGATCTGATGATCTGCATTGTTTCTTGCTCGATCGCAGATCGAAGACATGAGCCTCGAGGACTACATCGCCGTGAATGGCCACAAAGTGGGAAGCTTTGTCCCTTGCACCGCCGGGCGCTACTCGAGGAAGCGATTCAAGAAGGGGCGGTGCCCGATCGTGGAGAGGTGCGTGCTCGAAATCTCCCTCGGTCTTGGCAAGATTTCTCTCGATCGATCAAGTCAAGCGATGTTCTTGATCTCTCTGTGTCTGATCGCCAGGCTCGTCAACGCGCTCATGTTCCACGGCCGCAACAGCGGAAAGAAGGTCATGGCGGTGAGGATCGTCAAGTACGCGATGGAGATTATCCATCTCCTCACGGATGAGAACCCGATCAAAGTGGTCCTGGACGCCATCCAGCACTGGTATGGCACGCGCATTTCTTGGATAGGAATTCTTTTTGGTGTGCCTGATCGATCTTTCCAGCGCTCCTCGCGAGGAGTCGGTGAGCCTGGTGACGAGAGGCGTCGCCAGGCGCAGCTCCGTGGACACGTCGCCGCTGAGGAGGGTGAATCAAGCCCTGGCCTTCATCGCCACCGGCACGAGGGAGAGCGCATTCAAGACCGCCAAGCCCATCGCCGAGTGTCTGGCGGACGAGCTCATCAACGCCGCCAAAGGATCGTCCAACAGGTGAAAGAGATGAGAGATTCAAAGCCTCCTCCTTTTCTTCTTGTTCGACTGAGGGCGATCTTTGCTTGCAGCTATGCGGTGAGGAGGAAGGATGAGATCGAGCGCGTCGCCAAAACCATGCGATGAGTGGAAGCTCGATTCAAGGTCTTTGATTTCGTTTCGTTTCGTTTCGCTGGTTTGGCTTTGTTCGCTTGACTTATATTACCAAGAGGGGTGAAATGATATTCTGGATAGCCTATGTTCTATTTTCCCGTTAAAACTCATTCTGATTTGCAACGTGGCGAAAGGATGTGCCAAAAAGATTTCTAAGTATGAAAATTGTGTTCTTTGGGTGCTTTTGGCGCGATCGCGCCTTCAAAGAGATAAAAGTAAGGGCCTCCCAAGGTGGTGCTTGAGCAAAGCCCTGGCTGTGTTCTTGGATAAAATGTGGAAGTGTGAGGATGGTTACATGGTTTTCAGCGCCGTGGAAGCTTTGGCTGGCGGATGGGAAGTGGCCGCGGTAGGGAAATTGGAAGCGGTGCGGCAGTGGCGGTGGTGGCGGGGTGGCAAAAAAGATCTCCATCCCTGAGCGACCAGGAGATGATCCGGCTGCATGGCGAGGTGATCCGGGCGGAGGGCGTGCTGAGATTCTAGTGGACCGGGAGCAGGCGGTGTCGCCAGAGCCACTGAGGATGAAAATGCGTGAGGGATCATCAAGATCTCACGGAGACTTAGAATTCTTTTACTGTCTCGCCACATCATCAAGTCCTTTTTGCCACGCGGGCTTCCACGTTGCAAGTCCTTATACATGTTTTCTAAAGCTTAACGAGTCTTTATACATGTTTTCGAAAGCTTGGAAATCTGTCTAGATTGCAACATAATTATGGTTTGAAATCTGGTTTGATCAAGGTAAAACTTAATCACTGAAATTCACTGAAAATTAGGCATCCAAATATCTCTTGGAAATTTATTTGCTTTTGCATATGCCTTCAAGACAAAAAACATATTTTATTATATTTTAAATAGTTACTAATAAATAAGAATCAAATTCATACCATTTGCTTTAATACCACACTCTATTTCTCCCTTTAAACGATCTAAAAAAATCAGGCAATTAATACCTATTTGATCCTTATATATCCTAAGATTCCCAAGATTTCAAAGATTCATATCTAAATTTTATGGTATATGGAAAGCATCAATGGCAAGAAAGTGGAGAGTCTTGTTGTTCCTAACTGCCACTCAATAAAAAGAATTCGTCAATATTTGCTAGGATTTCAAAAGTTTTTTTAATCAATATTTATCTTCTAAAAAATGCATTAAATTCTCAATTTCTCTATTTTTTTGATGCACATGCCAAAAGTGAAACAAATCATCATAAATGCTAACAATATTTTCTAACTCACAGATCATATTATATCATACATAATATTTTAACAGTTGACTAAATTTTATGTCATATATACTACACTTATTTAGTTTTTGACTAAATTAAGTAGAATATAATAGATTTAAAAGAATTCAAAGTTATTATCTGTGATTATAATATAAATAGTTATAAACAAAGTATAAATCATGAAAGGAAAGTTTTTTAGCAATGCTTTGCTCTAGTGTTTAGGATTGTGCTTTTTTGTTCTTATTTCTTCATTCTTTTTTAGATTTAGATCTATATTAATGTTTTGCAAAATCTAGAATTTTAGCTATCATTGTGCTTAGATTTGCTCTTTCTTTTGATTTTCATTGCATGCTTTTCTTCTATCATGCCACGCCGTCATCAATCAAGGAATATGTCACTTGAGGTTACTATTGTTACTTTATTGGATCAAACTTTTTGTGTTATGGGATGTGATTATGTTGGTGTTGTGCCTATTCTTGATATGTTGCTGTCTCCAACTTCCATGGGACATGATTACATAGTTTGTCTTGTTCTCGGTGTTCTACCATTTTCTATTGATGTAGAGTGTGATCGTGACATTGATTAGTAAATTATAGATGATGTAGTTTAATTGTTGAAGAATGTTTAAGGATTAAATTTATAGGAAGACAATGTATACAAGCTTGAGTGGATTCTAGAGTGTGATGATGAGCTTGATTATTATGGAGATAGCTTTGGAGTTGAAGTGGAAATTTCACGGGATAGGTGTCAATTTTTCAATCTGCCATCTGATCATTTTTCTTTCCCTTCTGCTCTTTCCTAACCTTTTCTTATTTCTCGGTCTGAGCCACCTTCTTATATTCTTAATATTTTTTTTATCATTTGCAGTGTTTTCTTTTTCTAGCACATCAATTATTTGTGATTTTCATTTTTAGTCTAGTGTTAAGTTGAGTATTTTCTATCCTCCTCATACTAATTTGGATGTTAAGTGTGTCCATAAAGTTGAGAATCTTGCTTTTGTTTCATTAGCAAAGTTTTTGATTAGTTCTAGTGTTGAGATTTGGATGTTGAGTGTGTCCATGAAGTTGAAAAACTTGCTTTTGTTTCATTGGTAAAGTTTTTGATTAGTTCTGATGTTAAATATTCCCCTGCTTTTGTTTCATTGGCAGAGTTTTTGATTAGTTCTGATGTTAAATATTCCCTTGCTTTTGTTTCATTGGCAAAGTTTTTGATCAATTCTAGTGTTGAGATTTGGATGTTGAGTGTGTCCATGAAGTTAAGAATCTTACTTTTGTTTCATTGGTAGAGTTTTTGATTAATTTTAGTGTTGAGTATTCCCCTGTTCCAAGGGTTAAATTGCTTTGGCTAGAGTTTCAAGTTGAATATATATTCTGTAAGCTCTTGAGTTTGGATTTCCCGGGAGGTCACCCAACCCAATACTATTCAAACCCAAGGACGCGTAACCCTAAATATCTAAAACTCTTAATTGATTAAGAAAAGGGATGCACTTTTGTTTATGGGCCCTTTCCCTTTATATTTGAACTCTTATGGATTGTTTCTCGAGTCATTCCCTTTGGTTACTTATATATTCCCACTTGTGAGTGTTGTTGAGAGTTTTTGCTTTACTGTTACTATTGAAAAGTTTATATATTCCTTTGAGAGTGTGGAAATTGTTATTGATTTTTTTGTCTTTAAGTGTTGAGTTGTGTGTTGAAAAGGTTGAGTGGTGTGAATCTTGTACTTATATTGTGGTGGCTAAAGTATTTTTCCAAGATTTGAGCATATGTTTTTCTTTTGATTTCCTCATTTCTGCATTGTTAGGTGCTTTAAATTCCTCTTTTAATGCTTCTTTATCCACTTTTTCTTCTTTCATAATTGTTTTTCCTCAATTTTTCTCATTTTCTTCTTTTTGCCCTAATATTTCAAACTTTTTTTTCTTCAAAGGAGGGGGTAGAGGGGATGGATGGGAGTTTGGCCCCGACAATAGAGTGAGGATGAGTGAATACGGTAGTGGAGCGAGGATTAATGATATAAATTATGGAGTGAGAACGAGTATAGAGAGTCTGAACAAAATATCTAACCCTAACGTAATAAGGCTTAACAGATGCAATAGTGGAGTGAGGCCGAACATAGATGGCAAAGTGATAATGAGCGTAATAAGTTCGAATAGAGTCAATGTTTTTTTCCTTCGAGGAGGGATAAAAAGGATGTGGAGGATGAATAGAGTAAGTCCAATCTCACATATACAATGCTAGACGAGGATGATAGTTTTACTTATGGTCCTAAGTCCAAGTTAATGGTTGTCTTGGAAGATTGTCAACATACAGATTTAGAGACATGATATATTGTTTGCTACAATGATGTTCTATAGACTGTAATGGCTCTCAAAGTCCTTTATTTCCATTCAAAGTTATGGTTGCATGATTGGTTTGAGCATTTGGGAAGTATATCTAGAGTTGCAATTAGTTCGCTAGGATTCTATAATCGGCTGATACTTATGCCATGGTTTTAAATTTTATTTCAGTCATGGTTATTAACAACTTTATTGGTGGTATTGTGGGAGTTTACAATTCTTGTGGTAATTTATAATTATCCAATAGAAACTCTAGATATTCCACTTGACTTATTATCATCACCTTTTCATCTTCCGGAAGGGAAGATGGTGTAAGGTTTGTAAATACATGTATATATATATATATATTACTCTGCTTAAGGTAATACACTAATTTTAATACTAAAGCATATGGATTGTCCATTTGGGATTGAATCTAGTCCATCCATTTTTGTATATAAGCAAGGGCTTAAACCCCAATTAATATACCTATTCTTACTCACACACATTATAGTAAGCCTTAATTAGATTTACCAAAACAAAAGTAGCTGAATAAATATCCTACCAAAATTGTACTAATAAAGTTGGTGTCTCATAATAAAATATTCTATGAGTTTACAAGTTTTTATATTAGCAGCAAGGGATTAAAACTCCTTATATGTTTAAGGGCTTGAAATCAAAGTATTCTCTGCAAAGATCCAGGCTAGAGGGAAAGAGCACATATCATTGCTAAGGTCTTGAGAGGTATCCATATACTAAGATTGGTGCTTGAATGCCAAATGGCTCATAAGAGTGAATATTGTGAGCTCAACTGCTCTAGCTATTTGAAAACTTTGAGATTTTTGCAAGAAGTTTCATTAAAATCATCTTAATGGAGTGGGGAGCCCTCACCTTTAGAGGGTAAGAGGCCATAGTCACAACATCATTCCCCACAATCGTCAGCATTCTGATTTTAATTTCCAATGCTATTGATAACATGGATACTAAAAAGCATGAAACTTTTATAAAACCCAAGGTTGCTGCTTTAAAAATCTAAACGATTTCGCAAATACCAATAGTGTAATACGTAAAGGTGAAAGCCACTCCCTTTTTATTAAGCTAAATCACTAGTTTAGAGCGAAAAGAAACCAGGCGTATATCCAAGGGGTGAAAAGATATTTTAGCACAGGATACGTTTAGGGCTCTTGAGGTGAGCATATTTTCTCCTGTGGTCTCTAGAGGTTTCTAAACATTGGTGCGTAGATGGCGAGCGCGAGTACCAGCCTAGCTGCGCTCACAGCCCTCAATTCCACCTTCCTCTCCGGCTCCAATTCGGCTTCTCCGCTGGGACTTAGCTTCCCCAAGCGAAGGCAATGGCGACACAAGAGCTGTGTGCGCACCTCCGCAATGGCCAAGGAGCTTGTCTTCAACAAGGACGGCCAAGCCACCAAAAGACTCCAGGTTTGCAGAAAAGCTTTCTCTCTCGGATTGGCATTGGGCCATTGGCGAGTTTTTCTTATCGGGTTTTTGCGAAACAGGCTGGAGTGAACAAGCTCGCGGATCTTGTTGGAGTGACTTTGGGTCCCAAAGGAAGGAATGTCGTCCTCGAGAGTAAGTATGGTTCTCCAAAGATTATCAACGATGGTGTCACGGTGACCAAGGAAGTATGTGTCTTGTCTTTCTTGTTGATGCTGTGGTTTGCTGATGGAAATGTATTTTAGATTGAATTGGAAGACCCGGTTGAGAACATTGGTGTGAAACTCGTGAGGCAAGCTGCTTCTAAAACCAACGATTTGGCTGGGGATGGGACGACGACTTCCTTGATCCTGGCACAAGGATTGATTGCCGAAGGCGTCAAGGTTTTTTTCGTTTTTTTGTTCTTCCAGATTCATTAAGCCTTCTGCTTGGCTGTAGGTTGTGGCTGCTGGCTCGAATCCTATTCAAATCACGAGGGGAATTGACAAAACCATCGCAGCTCTGGTGAAGGAGCTGAAGGAGATTTCGAAAGAGGTTTGCTTTTCCGGATTCCAAGTTGTATGTCAAGTGAAAAAAGTCTCTTTTCAGGTCGAGGATAGCGAGCTCGCAGATGTTGCTACGGTGAGCGCCGGGAACAATGACGAAGTGGGCAAAATGATAGCCGAGGCCATGAACAAAGTCGGGAGGAAAGGCGTTGTCACTTTGGAAGAAGGCAAGAGTGCCGAGAACACACTGCACGTAGTCGAAGGCATGCAGTTCGAGCGCGGCTATATGTCTCCCTACTTCGTCACGGACACTGACAAGATGGCCGTAGAGTACGACAATTGCAAGGTAAAGATCTGTTTTTGGTTCTTGCTTGCTCCCGTGCTGATGAAGAGATGCGTGCACAGCTCCTCCTGGTTGACAGGAAGATTGCTACTGCGAGAGACGTGATTGGAATCCTGGAAGATGCAATTCGCGGGGGCTACCCCCTTATGATTATGGCCGAGGAGATCGAGCAAGAAGCACTTGCAACTCTGGTTGTGAACCGGCTTCGTGGCTCTCTCAAGATTGTGGCCATCAAGGCCCCAGGATTTGGAGAGAGGAAGACTCAGTATCTCGAGGATATTGCCATCCTCACTGGAGGTAAGGAGAGTTTTTTTTGTTTTCCAGAGGCTTGTGCTTATCGATTTGTATATCGTAGGCACGGTTGTGCGGGAAGAAGTTGGGCTGTCTTTGGATAAAGTTGGCCGTGAAGTCCTTGGGACTGCTGCAAAGCTGGTGGTAACAAAGGATTCGACGACAATTGTCGGGGATGGAAGCACACAGGAGGCCGTCACAAAGCGCGTTACTCAAATTCGCAACTTGATGGAGGTGTTGTTATTTCTATTCTCTGTCACGAAGCTAACTTATGTTTGTAGGTTGCCGAACAAAGCTACGAAAAGGAGAAGCTGAACGAACGTATTGCCAAATTGTCCGGTGGAGTTGCAGTTGTGACTGTAAGACATCGCTTTTTTTGCCGTTTCCGGAAAAAATTCTTCTGACATTGATTCGCGCAGGTGGGAGCTCAAACGGAAACCGAGCTGAAAGAGAAGAAGCTTAGAGTGGAGGACGCTCTAAATGCAACAAAGGTAATATACCGGTCTTGTCACCCGTTTTTTCTGCAATTCCTCGCTTTTCGCAGGCTGCTGTTGAGGAAGGCATCGTTGTTGGTGGAGGCACAGCTCTTTTGAGGCTGTCGAAGAAAGTGGATGCCATCAAGGAAACGCTTGAAAACCAGGAGCAAAAGGTAAGGATATAGCGCTTTCGCCATCTCTTTGACAAGTTTGGATGAATCGCTTGCCAGATTGGCGCAGACATTGTCAAGCGCGCCTTGGGCTACCCGATCAAACTCATCGCCAAGAATGCAGGAGTGAACGGGAGCGTGGTCGTCGAAAAGGTTGGCAAAACTTCGTTTCATGCGCTTACCGACTTGCATGCATGGATTTTCCAGGTTTTGGCCAATGATAACTTCAACTTTGGCTACAACGCAGCCACAGGAACCTACGAGGATCTCATGGCGGCAGGAATTATCGATCCCACAAAGGTAAGAAAAAAGAAAAAAAAACACACTAGAGTTTCAAGTAGAAAGCGATAAATTTTCTCTTGGTTGTTTCGTTCTCTCAGGTGGTGAGGTGCTGCCTTGAACACGCGGGATCAGTGGCCAAGACCTTTCTTACGTCGGACGTTGTGGTAGTAGACATCAAAGAAGAGTTTATTCCCACTGGAGCTGCGCAAGGAATGGCCATGGACAATTCAGGTACATTGTCTCTTCTTTCCTTTTGTTTTTGGTTTTTGGGCTATTGTGAGTGATGGAATCTCTGGGTTTTGGCTGCAGGCTATCCTCCTTACTAAGCAGGATCCACACATTTTGTTTCTATCGTGATTTTTTTTTGTTTTCTTTGGTACGTGCGGAAGAAGTATCAAACAAGTTTTGCGAGCAAAGCAAACACAGCAGTTCTATTGCAGTTCTCTATTGTAGTTCAGTTTCATAACGGCCTTGAATGGAAAGATTTTTGTTTGTTGAAGTGAATGAAGAAAAACTTCAACACCTTTTTGTGGATGAGGAAAATGTTGGTGAATTTTCATAGATATTTTAGACAAAAAAGGCTTGAATTTTTTTTATTTTTTTTCTTGTTTTTAATTTCTGCTTCAGGAGAAACTTCAACACATTTTTGGATGAGAGAAACAATTCCATAAATATTTTTTAGACAAAAAGAAAAACCGTTAAAAAATTTTGTGGTGAGTGTACATGCCTGTCTTTTTTTGTTGGTTGTGGTGACAAAGGTTCCTCTTCTGGACCAACATTGGAGATCACAAGAACAAGGAATCACCACCCTGCTGATATTTCTTCTGCAAAACCATTCCATCCTCAGATCTCAACCTTCATGTGCCCTGTGGGTAGCTGCACTGAGATTTGTGAAAACAGAGTCAGAGCCAATTTGCAAAAGATCTACAGCCAAGATCCCAACCTTGCAGCTCCTGAGATAGTGCTCCAAAGCTCATCTGGACAACGCTTTGCAACTCGCCGTCCCAGACACTAGATGCCTGGAAGAAAAAGAAGAAAGAAGCATATGAGCTTTTTGCTGGAAGGAGATAAGGACTTACTTGAGATGCCGCATCTGTAAAGCCACCCTCCCCTGGAGCCCGGATTGCATTCTCCACTGTGCTGCTCAAGGCCCTGAGATCGAGGCCGCAACTTCCCAGTTGCATTACGGCCGCTTGTGCCTGCTGGAGCTGCTGGAGGTGGGAGTATGTGGAGCTCATATCATGGTTTAGAACAATGGGTGAAGTGGATCCACGGCCTTGGAGCACCTGTAAATGCAATCAGTAAGGCTGGGATCGGGATGGTCGTATGTGATCCAAGCTCACCTCTTTGGTTAGTAGGCCGTCCAAGTTGATGTCTAGCCTGGGATTTACCGCGGCTAACTTCATGGAGAGGAACTGTGGAAGAGAAAAGCCTGGCTTAGTTCCAATGATCCACTAGGCTACAGCTGAGAGACCACCGTACCTCGACTTGGCGCTGTAGAGATTGGACGTAGTTGATTATCTCGTCGAGCATGACAGCTTTACCGGTGACCTGAAGAGAATAAACTTGCGTTAGAGTTTTTCTCTTGTCCTACATTATTATGTAAACAGCACCTTGCTGCAACCTGGTACCAAGTCCTGCAGAAACTTCATTCGCTCGCTGATCTTCTCTCTTCGAACCTGTACGTGCATTAGTTCATGTTAGATTAGATTCTCGCCGCACTACATGCAGAAACAAAAAAGAGATATACTCACTCTTTCGGCAAGGCTGTGGCTGTCAGTTGCTTGGCCTCTTCGAGCTCTCACATGAATGTAATCTTGCTTCGGGGGCTCCGGGGGCTTGGAGTTCTCTTTTACGGACTTTGGGCTCGAGCTGCCAGAGTTTTCACTGCTACTCCTCTCCGTCTTTGTTTTAGCCTCGTCCTTTTCCTTGGACCCCTCGGATGCCTTTTGGCGCTTGACTTTTGTCTCTTCGCCTTCGGGGTTCTACACATCCACAGAAACGTTACAAAGTTAGCCTATATTCGTTCTAGCCACTCACGCATCATTCAGAAATGCAGTACCTTTACGTCTCTCCGGATTGGAGCATCCTTGCATTTGTCTTCGCTGGTCTTTCTCTTTTTGTTGCCTTGCTCCATTGAATTCTGTGCGGAGCTGAAAGAATCCTCCTTGGTGGGACTTGAGCCAGTTTCCTGGGAGACTTTATGGAGCTTGTTGAAGAGCTTGCCCTCGTCTAGCGCATTTTTCACGCCCTCATCCGCCGCATTATTGTCGCCTCTCATACTCGACGTCCTGGACAGCTTGTTGGGACTTTGCTGCCCGTACCCGCCACCGCTGTGGAACGACGAGTACCTGGCAGCACGCTCCGCAAAGCCAGGATCCGCTGGAAAATCCGCAAAGCATTGCGACGAAATCCCTTGGAGAGCAAGGCCACCCTTTGAAGGATCCACTGTCAAGCTCAGGCCATTCGACGTCGCCCAGGCATTCGAGGGAGCCCTCTCTATCCCTTGGCTCGGGCTCGACGCGAGCGAAGAAGGCCCATAAGTTAAGTTGCTGCCGGGATGCTTGCTAGCCTCGGAATTACTCGCCGAGACGACTGCGTTGCTGGCCGGCATCGCCGACGAGAAGGAGATGCTTGGGTCGACAAACTGATGCCAGTCACCGCTGCCAATGGCGTTCAGAAACTCGGGGCCGAAAGCGCTGCCTTCCGCCCCCGGCGCTGCTGCCCCCATTGGCCACGAAACCGGGCAGTCGGTTGATGGATAGCTCGAGTCCATGAAGTACTTGGATGATGATAAATCCGCGCCAATAGTACTGGAGAGTGGGACTGAGCTCCTCATATACGAGAATCCTTTGTGCTCTGACGACGAAACGTGAGCCATGGCCATATAGGAGGAGGAGGAGGAGGCACAAAGCAACTAACCAAGCTCAGCTCTCCAAGCGGATGCTCCGAGCTAGCCTTCACAACTCTTGAATCGCTGATGCGTTGCAGTCATTCACCCTGTGTCACCCAAGTCAGAAGCGTGGAAAAAAAAAACTAAGCTTTCATCAATGCCAGAGAACCAGTTTCCAAGATCAAATTGGGAACACGACACCAAACAAATGTAAGCACTCCAAATTTGAGAATGGAACAGTTCTGTTCACTGATTCTAGACAGCCCTCGGGAGCCAACACTAACAAACAATTCACAGGCGAGAAATAAGATATGGCAAGGAAAGCAATCGTCGCGGCGGCAAAGTAGCGAAATCCACACACAATGCAGGTCCCAATTCACACGGCCAGGCACGAGAGAAGGCTATGCCATCCAAACTCGGGAAAAAGATCGAGAGAAGGAAGAAGTACCTGTCGAAAGATCCGTGAACATATCTTGGATCGATTCCACAATGCCGGCTCGCGGCGCTACCCCTGGGGCCGAAATGCGGGAGAAATCGCCGAAATGCGGGAGAAATCGTGGACGAGAGCCGAATATTTCCGGGAAATCCACAGCCGCGGGAGCTCCCGGCGATGAATCAAGCTCGAATCAAGACGACAGACCTCGATAATCTTGGCGCAAGCCGCCCGTCGGGATCGTCCACCACGGGAGGCGCAAAAGGGCCTTCTCAAAAACCCTGGAAATGGGGGAGGGCCTTTAACGAGTTCTTCCACAAAGACACGCATAGCCCAGCCCTCGCTTTTGTGGCTCTACCAGTACGGCACCGCCGCGAGCATCCCGGCGCCCGTACAAACGAATATTCCGGGACGTCCGTATATGTTGACCGGTCTCATTGATTGGCCGGAAATGCGGAACGCCCGCGACAGCTGCCTACGTGGCGGGCGCCCATAAGCGCCATGTCTGTCGGAATGCATCCAGTGGCGTGGGGCCACGTGTCAGAGCTTGCCACGTTGCGTCTTTTAATGGAAGGGGGACCGCACGCGGGAGGACGGGTTCGAATCCGGCACGCCTCACTGCGAGCGATTAATGTGCAGTGCACCAATGTACAAAGGTTTAATCAAAACAATTTCCATCCTTTCTTGTTTGATATTCTTATTGTTTATCAATATTAAATTCTTGTTCTACCATCGTTACCCTTCCTGATCGCTGCTTGGCTTTTCTATGTTCCTGCCCATGGCTCAAATGCATGAATGCCTTTAAAAAACTGGGGAGAAAATACTGGAACTCCTATGTGAGATTGAGAAGCCCCCTGTCTCACATGGACAATCCAACCCATTGGAGTTATGGAATTTGTCCTTTGGCAATTTGATCCAGACAGTATCTTCCGTAGCGATAGCATTCTCCCGCGAATATTCCATCGGCAGTTAGCGGGTTTAACTACGTTAAACCCGTAACCGCCATTTCAATCGCAGCCGTCAAATATCGCTTTCATCTGAAAAAAAGTGGCGCCTTTTACCTGGTGACTTTACCATTTTTACTTACGTGTACAATTCCCAGGGGTGGGCCCGGACAGACTGACATGGCTGTCGGCTATGTGGCAAGGCCAGTGGCCAAATTCAAGCGGGCTTTGGGCCACCCGGGCTCACGTGTCAGCCCTTCACGTGACCTGGGGCCAATTATAAGCTACGAGGTCCGCTGACGTCCGCCGGACTGCGTCAGCGCAATACCCGGCTTTACCGCATCGCCATGTCATATGCGCGCCAGCAAGGCCCGCGCACCTCCACGTCGCCTCCAGCTCATGGCCGACGTGTCGGGGCGCGCCTCTCGAAAAGATGGGGGTTCGATTCCCCCTCTCTCTCTGATGACGTCCTTCTCACACACGTCACTCTCCCAGTGGGCTTTTTTGCCTGTACAGTGGACCCAGCCAAATGGCTAAATGGCCTCTGCCACGCTGGCAGCAAAATGCCGGGGGCAGTACCGGGCAAAGCCGCTTGAATGCCAGCATTATCGAGGCCTGGCCAGTCTTTGTCCGGGGCCCCGGTCAAAATCTCGCCTTGTCACGTCAGCGGCAGAAGGGAGAAGGGAAGGCACGCGTGGGAGACGTATGGGCGTTATTGTAAAGAAATACCAACTCACACTGCCCTAAAGAAATTGTCCCTTCTTTCCCTTTTCTTTTATCTACTTCGGTCAGTGACGCGTACAAATGTATGTGCATGGGAATACACTTCTATATACAGTTATGCTACGCTGCTGGACGTGTATGTGGCTATGGAAATACATTTCCACATACAGCCATACCTTCCTCTCTCTCCCTAGGGACAAGAGAAAAAACTTCCTCCCCAACTGCAGCAGATGCCTCAACTTGGCAATTGATGGGAAGTGGGGACTTTGTCTCTCACAGTGGGGACTGTTTGCATTTGTGTATAGGGCTGCTGTTTCTGGGGCTTTCTGATCACCACATTCAATTTCTTCCCAATGTGGTCCAGGTAAAAACTTGTTTGCTCACTCTTGGAGGATAAGCAGGATAGATTCTTCTGAGTGTGGGTGATTAGTTGCTGGTTTCTCAAGAGAGAAATCTATCTGAGAAAGGCAGGAAGGGGGAGGGAGAAGATCAAGCATCATTTCAGATATAGATTGCTCATCCACCACCCTGACAAATGCCACCCTCCCTTTTTTCTTCACTAGAAAAAAAGATAAAAACAAAGAGGGGGGAGGGGCTAGCAGTGTAAGGGTCATTTTTCTTTTTATTAGAAGGAATGATGGACCCCTCCAACATGGGACCAAAATCTTTGTCCTCCAAAGGTCCCCAGTTGCCCCCACCTAGGGCAATTTGTCAATATTTGTTGTTCCTGTTTTCTAGCCTTGCTTTGCTTTTACCCAGAAGAAAGAATTGGGGGGGTGATGGAGTTATGGGACCAACCAAAAGCCAGCAACAACAACATTTATAAAAATCATATACATGTATATAGTTCTCTAACAAACTCTATCATTGCTTTCTTTGTTTGTTATTTATTTGACTGGCTCTCTCCTCCCTCCATGCCCCCAAGGCCCGTTCCACAAAACTGAAGAAAAAGGAGATTGTCCTGTTGATCTATGATCTAGCTATTTTTCTGCTTTGTGCATTATTCCCTCCCCTCTTTTCTCCTTCAAGCTGGTACTCAATCATGAAAAGACTCCACAGCAACTCAATACTGCTGGCTGGCTGGCTGAGGGGTACTTGGGAAAAGTTCTAAAGTTCTAACCCCTCCCTCAAAAGAAAACAAAAAAGAAAAGAGTGAGACAATGGTTAGGATTCAAAATGATGTGCTTGTCTTTGTGTGTGTGTTTTGCATAGCTGTGCATTCTCATCTTGTCTGGCTTAGGTCTCAAGTAACACACACAGACACAAATCAAGATGTATCAACAGTAGAGCTGTGGAGACTTTGTTGATAAGCTCGTGTTGGTTTATACATCTTTTTCCTCAGCTGTATGAAAACAAAGGGGCAACCAACTGAGAACAAAGTGCTCCTTGCAAATTGCACCCCACAGCAAACAATCTGCTGGTGCTGTGGTTGTAAAGAGCTCTCCCCTTTCCATTGTCAGTAGATTTCTTCGAGTCTGGTGAAAGAATCACATCACTTTTTTCCCCTTTTCTTTTTTTTTTTTAAGGAAGGGGAAAAATGCAAAAATTAAAAGTGTGGATTTCAGTGGGATTTTAGCTGGTTTTTGTTGTGCCAGCCACCAGCCAGCATCTTTGTGGCTTGTCTACACTACTGCAAAACGAATGAATCTCACAATCAGCCCTCAAACTTCATCCGGCAAGACCAAGCCCCGTGTCAACTTTTGTTTTAAAAGCACGTCATACTCAAGCAGAAAAATTCCAACGCTTAACTAGACACCGATGTGGTAGCAACGCCCAGAATCCCCTTTCAGACCAGTAGACAGGATTCTCACCAATATCTTCTCTTTGATATATAGTTGACATCGTTTTCTCCTTCAACAAAAAAGTTGGCGGTCATGCTTTCCCTTCGTTAAACGGGCTGAAATTCTCGACTTTTAAAAAATGTGATACCTTGTCTTGGTCTGAAGTACACGCGCTTCGCAGTAGCTGGCCGGATCGGCCAAATAAAAATCGCTACAATATAGTATTATCGGGAAGAAGTGGGATCTTCGTCCTCTTAAAACGTACAGGGTGGTGGGATTTCCTCTCCAAAGTTTCCTCACGCGGAGGAGGAAAGAATCATTGGGAACAAGGTGGCGGAGCACTTGTTTTATGCGCTCGAGATTCGCTCGAGCCGAGAGAGCTCTAAAGAGCCTTGCCTTTTCTTTTTTCCTCCTTCCCGGATGGATGTTCTAACGCTTTTGTATATTACTTGAAAACTCCCAAATGCAAGCCAGAGCGTCCTAGGCCAAGATCTTGTACACCCAACACTCAGATCTTGTGGCTTATTCTAAGCATCTTTGTGATCGAAGTGTCGACACCGGAAAGAAAGAGATCCAGTGCCGCAAGGAAAGCTCAAACTAGTCGCCGATATAGTTTTGTAAGCCAACTTTCCACTGGGGTTCAATCTAGACCATTCCTTGTTGTATATATAACTAATTATCTAGATTATACAAGACAATTTATATATGAATCAACGGTCTTTTGTATCTCCACTTTATTAATTATTGAGAATAACTTAGATTTTGTTTGTGTGGCTCTTGCAAGCACTACGTAAGACAATTGCCCCCGTTTTCCATATCGTTCTCGTTTTGCTGCCAAACTATCTTCCATCCAGCCGGGAGTAAGTTGGTGCTTAGCTTTCAGTCATCAAAGCCTGATGGATACGAGATAATATACTCTTCTCTCCAATCCTTCTTTTAAGAGCTTTGCTGGCTTGTGGTGTGATGTTTCTCTACAGCTCTACTTTACATTGTCGAGATCATTGGCGTTGCATCCATCGCTCGATCGCTGGATGGATCACACGGCTCATGATTACACGCCCAAAATTCCACCTTGTGAAAGAGACTCTGTAAGATACGCTTTCACACAATGATAAGGAAGGAATTCTTATATCTCGCTTTGCTCCAGGTTAAGCTTGGAGGTTTTAATGAAACCATGTGCCAAGGATCATTAAATCCGTGACGGTTAAGTTTTAAAACCTCGATCCTCGATCGATCGCTTTCCTGGCTTGGGCTTTCGTACTGGGTTCTCGCTATACTTTTTTTCTTTGATCGCGGGATAAAAAAAACCATGTGGTTGTTCGAGTGTTTCATCCTTGCTGATTCTTCTTGTACTGGCTGCCATTGTGTCGCTTTAGTAGAACGAGGGGAAAAAAAATGGAGAGAAAACGAAATTTAAACTGGAAGCTTAACTTGTTCTTGCTCTCTTGCAACTGGCACGATCGAGGGTCATTGTTTTGAGAGATTCCCTTCTTTACAGCTGAACTAGCCCCGCACCATCCACCAAGATTTTCTGTGAGCTGGTTGTTTCGAGAGTACAGTCGCAACCTATCTGGAGAGCTAGATCCTGCAGGCACTCGAGATCCCACTAGTAAAAACTTTGAGCACCAGAAACTTTAAGAAAAAAGTGATAGCACACTCACAGGGACAAGAAGATTGCAGCCACTTGGAGACCACCTGGAACAAAGGAATTCGATACTCAAAACGAGAAACCAAACAAAAGGAAGGGAGTAAAAAGAAGATTCTCACCTCTGTAATGAGCTTGTCCATTTTCATTTCGAACGCAGTATTGTTGCCGCTTTGGGATTGCTGCAATGGCACCACCGCCACCACCTCGTCTTTAGTTTCGCTCAAACTTTGAGAGTTATCTGACTCCTTGCCGGTAAAACCACCTTCCAAACTCCTGCAAGTGTTCCTCTCTCCAAGTTAGAAGAAAGAAAAAAGCAAAGCCTTTAAGCGAGTAAGTTACCTTGAAGTCTGGATTTCCGCATCGTTGAAATTCCTCTCACGGCCCGAGTTTAGAGTTGACAATCCCAGCGCTCCAAAGTCGTCGCCTCGGGGGAAATGAGGAGCATAAGTTTGGTACCGCGCGGGCTCGAGAATCTTTTCCAGACGACGAGACAGATCTTTGCGTGACGGTGTTTGGCAGTACTTTGACAATTTAGCTCCCTCGATGAGAAACTCGATGGCGGACTTGATCACAGCATCCTCTCTCTCTCTCCAACGAGCAGCCTGAAAGTTTTCACCCAAGAGACAGGAAAAAAGTAAATGTAAGAGTAACCAAAGTTGACTTACCTGGATATTAGCAATAGTTTTGTCTCGAGACACCAGACTACGCTCCATTGCCGAAGCTACAGCAAGAAAGTAAACAAACACGGAATTCGTCGCCCTAACACTCGAAACTAAAGTATATTCATTTGCCCGGTTCAGAATATGCTCCCAGCAACCACTTGCTATAGAGGAACTTTCAGTGTGGCAGAGCCATTTCGAGGATCTGCAAGCTGCAAAACAAAATCTTTTGATAAGTTTTGGAGAGTTTTCGAGTAAAAAAACTTCATTCTTACCTTACGGACATGAGAGCCATGCCAATGAAGACGGCAGTGACTGCTCGTCGATGACCAGCGTACTCGAAGGCTAGAGGAAGCATTTCGTGAAGCGTAAGAAAAGCCATGACACCGCCGACTGTAAGATTAAAGGACGAAGAGTAAAGTCCACTACGTTTCTGCATTGCAAAAACAAAACGACACAAATCTTACCACCTCCCAATAATCCTTCTAAAACGTCCGTGGAGAGACCGGAAGGAAAGAGTGCCGCTGGAAGCAAACACGAAAAGAGTTAGCACGCTTTTCTGTTCTTCCTTTCAAGCAGTGAAAGAATAATAAAATTTTTCTTACCAACAATTATCACTCCGAGCGGCTCCGCGAAGCCAGACAATGCTGCAAGTTTGAAGCTCTGCCACTTGCTAGGAGCAAAAATCAAAGAGACAATGAGCAATCCTTGTTCTTTTCCAGCACTAATGAATACCTGTTGGTTGCAAAATAAATCGGCAAAGCGACGGCGATTCCCTGTTAAACAAACTGTTGAGCAAAAATAAAGAACCATAACTTAAATTACCTCTGGGATGTTGTGCAAAGCAATGGCCAGGGCTAAGCTTATACCAACTCGAATGCCCTGAAATGTAGCAACGCGTAAGGTTGGAAGTTTTTTCAATAAGCGGTAGTGTTTCATACCTTCATGGATCCAAGGAACACAGCCATTCCCTCAGGAAAGTTGTGCAAGCTTATTCCTGCCCAAAACTTAACACGAATGTAAACTTCTCTTGTGAGCGCGAGAGAACAAGGAGTACCTATAGCCGTGATTATGCCACTGAAGAGAACCTGCTTGCGGTGCTTTTTCATCACATCCTTGTCACTGCCATTTCTATCCTACAAATGCCACACAAAGTTTGAAGATGAAAGACATAAGAAAAAAGAGAACCTCAGAGCTGGAAGTTTTTGTGATGGAAGCCATTGAAGGCTCAGGAACAAACGTAACTATACCAGCAAAGAGCACAACCCCTCCAAAGAACTGACCAGGGAGCAAACCAGAGAGAAGATTAGAAAACGAAGAAAGAAAAGAACGACTTACCCAAAGATTTGCTCTAGCAAAGCCAAGGTTGTTTATAGCGTTATACATGAGGTCTAGAAATGACAATGTGAGCATCAAGCCTGCTGCGAGCCCCTACATTTGAAGGAACAATGGCTCTTCAAGCCCACAAGGAAAGAATTTAAGGATCTTACTTGCAAGAGGCCGAGGCGATTGAGATTGGGAGCCGGATACAGGATCACGAGCAACGCACCTATCAAAAGGGAGGAGAGAATGGTAGCTAATCCAGAAAAATGTTACAAACCTAGCGCAGTGCTTGCTCCTCCAACCATGGACAGCGCCAGGGCGACTGGAACCGATCCAGTAGCCATTTTTCTCATAAACCCTAATGTGCCATAAGTTTTAAAATGAAATTAAGGGGCATCAAATCAGAAACATTAAATTAAAGGTTATTAACCATATCTTGCTTCAAACTCATTGGTTTTATTACTATTAAATACTATAGAGGCATTAGAAATACTTCCATATACAACTCTTGGGTCAGAATACCTTTATAATAAAATGTTATATAATTTTTATATTAGAATTTTAAATATATGATTTTACTATAAAAAATTCTAGAAGATTGGAGTAGTGTTTTCTTTCGGCCACTAAAAAACTATTTGAAATGGCTTTTTGGCAGAGAAAACATAAAATTTTAATACAAATTAGTGTCACTTGAAAAGTCCATTGCCAGTAGTGGCTGGACCGACAATTTCCTTAAGCAGCCTAAAAATTAAAAAAAACAACATGTGCATGTCAGTTTAATTATGAATTAACAATGTCAATATTCTTCGAATAATACCCCTAACAACTTAAATATACATTGAATTGCCATTGAATCTTTTCTCTGGTGGGGTTAAAGGTTCAAGGGTTATGCTTAATTAAACAGTCATAATTATTCAAAATGCCAAAAAGTAGTTTTGAATAAAACCCTAGATTGGAACCACTTTCGCAACTAATCCATAGTTCTATTTTATAGAAACTATTTTATGGTTTTTAATACTATAGTGAACTTGCTAATAATTGCAAAATATTTAAGACTTTAAAGTATATATATTTAGTAAATATTTAGTTGTGTGATAATAAACGATGCGAGGTGGCAGAAGACTAAATAAATTGTTTGCACTTTAAAACAGAATACAACTATAGAAGCAAGAAAAAAAAATTAATCAAAGAAAAATTAATAAAAAAAACATACATTGCCAATGTTGCTTCGGGTGTGTTTACCTCCCTTTACCATCTGAAATTTTTCATCTCACACAGCCTAAATGCCTTGACATAGTCTTTCAGTGGCTACAGCTGCAAAAGAAAAAGAAATGGAAAAAATAAAAAAGCAGCAAAAACACCAACTATATTTATAAAGCCATAACAAATTAAGGTCCTAAACCTTGACTGGCTTAAGATGGCGTTGATAGTAATTATTTTGAAGTAGCTGCTGCTGAATTTCTTTTTAACTAACACAAGATCAAAAAATAAATCAGCTAACAAAAAACAAATCCACATAAAAAACTTTTAATGCTTATACATATGTAATTCTTAAATATTAAGAAATTAATTTTTATTTTAAAATATTTAGATAGAATTATAAAGATAAATATCTTTTTAATTTTCTCTTATATGCAAAATTATTTATATAGTTATATTATTCAATAAAACTTATAGAATATGGAAATAATAAATTAAATATATAAATCTTAAAAATCTTGGTTACTTTTGAGTTATTAGAATTTACATAAGTATATTCTAGAATATTTCTCAATTCATGATATTTTTAAGTAAATATTTTTATTTAAGAATATTTTCATGCATTGTTCCATAATACAAACTTAATATACTATCTTGATATATATCAATAATTATCCAACCCAATAATCACTAGTACAATATAAAATATATAGACCAAAATGCCAGCAATTTAATGGAAATTAAACAGATTTGAATGAAAAAGCACAATGTGATTTATGAAAAACATTTTTGAGATGTAAAGTAATATAAAATTTTAATAACCAACAATAATTCTAGTATGAGATGATGTATTATTGTATACTCATATATTTTTTTCTTATAAACTTAGCAAAACCAACTTAGTATATGTTTTCTTCTAATTTGATACATAAGGAGTTGTACCATATGTTGTGAATGCCACCATCAACTGAGTCTAATTGTTTAATTATCAAACAATTGCACCAATTACTAATCCAAAGTCAAAAGAAGAAGAAGCTATTACTCTACCATGAATATGAACAAAAAAGAAAAAAACAAAAAAGAAGAAATTCAAAAAGTTCATCTCCATATATTAAATGTACTAATTATATAAAGGCCTATTCTATAATTTCTTTAATTTGTATTCCCACTTTAATCTTCTTTTCCTCGATTCCACAAACCCACCAGTATGGAGTCTAATATAATCTGTATGTATGTATTTATATGTCAGATATGATGAAAGAAAAACAAATTCAAGACTCACCTGTGAAAAATGAGCTGCAATGCATGGTAATACAAGCAGCCCACTGCCTTCTCCAGCCTTCAAAGTTTCCACCACAGCAACGCTAACAGGCAGTGTTTTCTGTGATAAAAAAACTCAACTTCGGAGAAACCCCAATCTCGTTAATAACACTACCTGGCTTGCAACAAGTATGACTGCTCGAGAGGATGCTTCGTCATCTTCCTTTGAGCCTGTTTTTATTAGTGATACGAGGAACATGTTTACTGCCAGGAACATGAAATGCAAAGCACTGCAACGAGGAAAACTATAAGAAATCATGAAACCATCTTAAAGCGAACTTACATTCCCAGAAAGAGTGCCGCAATCAAGTTTCTAGCATCCAATTGTAAGAGCAAAGACCTCGAAGAACTTATTTGCATCCAAGGTACCTACAAGCAATGGTAACATGAATGCGAAAAAGAAAGACAAAAACAGAGATCGACTTAACAGAATCAATACCGAGCTAAGCAAGAGAGCGCTCGCAAACGAGATCTCCTCGCGGTGTCTGTCAATGGACTTGTGTCACGACAAGTTAGAAAAAGCAAACGATTGAGGTTTCGACTTTAGTACCTCCGCAGGATGATAGAAGCAGAAAACTTCCCTTAGCAGCTTTCCAATCGCGAAAGGCAGCACCAGCGTCTGGACTAAGCTCCGGAAGAGCTTACTGGCAGGGAATTTGATCCCGAGCTTTCCAATCCACAGAGAAACTGATACTGGCATCTGCATCAGCTTAAGCAATTACTCGATCAAATGGTTAAAGGGAAAAGCTTGATTACCGTGAAGACTGCTAGCAAGTTGGACGATATCGTGAGCGCCAGTGCAAGTGCCTTGTTTGCTCCAGCAAGCTGGGAGCACATTTCAGACTTTAGTCTAAAGCTAAAGTCCGAAAGAGCAAAAAAGCACAAGACTTTACCTGAGTGAGCGACACGCCAGTCGAGAGTGTTGTTGGTGCGCAACAAAAGATTGCAAGGCCTAGCAAGCACATTCGATCGATCCATCAAAGCTTTCAAATCAAATCAAAACTCAAAAGTGATAGAACTGTCATTACCAGTGACAAGCTCCTTCGGGTTTAGCTTGATTTGCATGACGAGCCAAGCAGCAGCAGGAGTAATAAACAGAATAGAAATCTAGAAAAGAAAGAAAGAAAGAAAGAAAGAAAGATCATAGAAAGCAGGAACAATGCATAGACGATGCTTTACCAGTCCTTGCAAGGCAAACGGCCATGCCTCAAGCGCTTTGTTGATATCCCCGTCCTGCAAAGTAAATCCTGAAAGTCAAAAGAAGTCAA